ATCGTGTAAGTTTATTGTTTGCCAGTACATGCTGATCCTTACTGGACCGCCGAGAGGGGAGGGGGGATTTTCGCCCCGGGTCCCAACTCGAGAGCCCCCAATGCGACGAAGGTTGCTTAACCAAGAATAGAAATCAATAAAGCGTAATATATTGTAAAACACCGCTTCTCCCGTTTTGACGTCAAAGGAAAATTTTATGACGTCATAGGACCCCTGGGAAAGTTTTGCCCCCAGGGGTTTAGCACTGAAAGATCTATCAGGTATAAATAAAGTTAGCTTATCTTCGTTTGACTTGATTCCAGGATGAATTATTTGAGAAAGCTCGTGCAGAGATTCTTGACGATGTTCTCAGTCTTCATGATATCACACCGAAAGAATGGGAGAAGAAACTTTACGAGAGAATGTGGCAGACCATATCACCTCATGTAGTTGATGATATTTATGTTGCCGCTGCACAGAATAACAACCCGGGAAAATTTAACACCATTGTGGATATTAAACTGAAACACTGGGCGGAGAAAAGCTTGGCAAACACTTCCATTCAGGTTAGCTTGAGCATTCTGCAAGCAAACGTCGCGCTCATCATGTGCTGAACCTTATGCATAAATGCCTTAAACTGGGCGCATGAACAAGTGGACATGTCAACTAAGCTTTTGAAACTTTATTACTGTGTCATAAAATTCTAGATTTTTTAGGAACTAAATTTCTAGTTTCTGACTTAGTGCCAACTGACAAAAACTTGCATTATTACAATGTGGTATAAAATTTGCTATTCCAGTGTTCAATTTGATTTCAGCATTTAATTTTACGTTTTATTTTCTAGGTTGGCTGGGATACGTTATTTGACGAAGTATCCAAAGCTTTAGAGGTAAGTTTTCCAAATCATGTTTTATGTTTAATAATCATCTTCGATCCGTAAGCACGAATCAGTGCAAGTAATATAAGAAAAATGCAACTATGTATATATATATATATATATATATATAGGCCCTCCTGCAGGAATTGAGCCCGCGGCCGTGTAATTATGGTACAGCGGTCTGACCACTGAGCTACAAAGTGCAGTTCCAATCACTAATATGTTGCTTGCACTAACATTGTGTTTCCATACAACAAATGTTTCCAATATTTTATAAGTTTTAGACTTGGCCATGTTTTAGCTGTGAAGATCATTGATGTTTTACCATATATCTCATTTTATCTGTCTTAGAGTTCTAATGAAGTTAACCGACGAGATAGTCACAGCCCGCTGTTTGAGATGTTAAAATCCTCCGTGAAACATCACTGTACCACTAACCATCAATGGCTGCATAAAGCTGAGGAAAGTCTGGTGGGTTAAATAACACTAAACCAGCTCTATTTATTTTCGATATTTCCATCACTTCCAAACTGTTCATCCTATACAGGTCCAGTAACAGTCGTCTTTTATTGGTTCAGCGTTACTAGAGAAAAGAAACCTAAGTTAAATTAGATTTATTTGTACTGGAAAGTTCTGTCATTTCTGAACTGCTCTTCTTAGAGGTCCAGTAAAGGTTGTCTCTTAGTGGCAATAAATCCTGTTTTAGTACAGGAGGATACTGGAGTACCCAGGCACAGAGTAGAGACTATACAAAAGCCAGACTTCTTGGTTTTTCCTATGATTTTGGCGTAACCGTAATTCGTCATCAAAATGCTGACGCCATAGTCCTAGCCAGTGCGCTTATGATAGTCATTGACCAGTGAACTCCGTGTATTTTATCGTAAAGTAAATAAATTCAGTTCACTGGTATTCACCCCCTGCATGATAATCAAAATGGCGGACGTCCAGGGGGGATTTTGATGACGAATCATGGCGTGGCAGCAGTTACGCTTTTTTGGCTGGGTCCACCTTCTGTGCGTCGTTATTCTGTGACCCAGGGGAAGTACTTTTATTACATGCTACTGACCTAAAATTACAATTCTAGTGCGTATTGCAAGAAGTGAACCCATGCATTCACAGCATTAAAAAGCACACGCACAAATCGCTCTGCAACCGCATCAATCACTCATAAACCTATGAAGTACCACGAGAAGGAGTTTTTGTTGACTTAATGAATTTACAATGAAGAAAAACACGAACATTTTATAGAAAGTGATGCAAATGACAGCATTAGAAGATTGGTCAGTGAGTGATAAACTGGAGTGGGATGCAGCGACAAAATTTCTTGAAGTTACACTACAAAGTCAACTGAATGAAGGTATTATGTTTTCTTTACATCGTCGTAACACAGCTCAGTGGTCGTAACCTTGCATTGATGTATTTTAGCATCAAAGAAACTGTATGACTTGACCGGGCCTGGAAAAACTGAACGCTGGTTATACTGGAAATACAGATCCACAGAACAGGTTTGAATTTAGTATGGATAATAGTTGGACCATTCTAAGTCGAAATATAATATACTTATGTTACAAAGTCATCTTCATCAACTTTTTTCACGGTCAAAGTTGCCGGATATGATGTCATAAGATAAATTATAATTTTTTCCCTTTATTGGCAAAAATTCATCTAATGACATTATAAGTAAAAACGTTGATGAAGATGAGGGGTTTTCTATAAAGATAAACTGCATTTCTTCTTCGAATGAAGCAGAGATTGTTTTAAGTTATTTTGTTGAATTTTCAGGAGTTGTGTTCTTATGCACGTGATGAACTTCAGAAGCTCTTTCAAATTGACGAGGTATTGATTTGGATTGTATTAAGTCAGACATACTACTGTAAGAGACCAACTGATAGGCTTTCTAACGTATCATGGTAGCAGTTTACTGCTTGAGATGCTTTCAATGTCAAGACAATTTAGGTATTTTCAAAGTGTCGATGACATCATAAAAGGCCAGACGTACCTTTGGTTTCTCTCAATTTCCATTGTCTAACAATATTTAGCTCGCTTCATTTCCTGCTCCGAAGAGCAGCGCTATCCAGTATACATTTAGAACCAGTGTTTTTAAACACGTATATATTAAAGTATGCTTTATCCTGTACTTTCAATTATAAAGAAACATGGCCCAGAACTGGCTGAAGATGAACTTACAACTGTTCGCAAGAATTTAGAAGCGCTCAATGTCAATGTTGATCATAATCTGGTAAGAAATGAAGTACACCAGCAAGCCAGAACCCACACCCCTCTCCCCGTTGGCTGTTTTGGGGTTGTGGGGAGGGGGCGGAGGTAAAGAGTCTGGTTTGCCAGATTGCTACAACAACATACCAGCATTGTTTTGGTATTATCTGCAAGTCAATTGTTTCAGTTGCTCCCTCTAACAATGGACCAATAAGGCGTGCGTCTAATATAGAGCTATCCAATATAATTCATGTTTATCGGTAGCTATATTCGTACGTTACGCATGATACTTATTTCAACCGTTTCATTCAGATAAAGCGAACTTGGCAGCACATGCATCGCGAACAGTTTATCCAACGCGCCATCCTCGATGCTCAAGAATGCAGGAAAGGTTTTTATCATAGAGATTCAATAAAAACAGATGTAAGTTCAATTCGTTAACTTTGCATTCTCCTTGAAAGTTGTTATAAAATTTGCAAACATTGCTGGTCTTTTTAGCTTCAGTGTAACGATGTTGTGTTATTCTGGCGAATTCAAAAAATGTTGCAAATTACAGGCAACTCTTTACGACAGCAAATAATGAATTTTGAAGGTAGAAACATTTTATATTTACTTTATATAACCTTTGTTTGTCATCGTTTAGAATGTTCTTCTATTAAAAATATGTTGCTAAAACTGCAAAAACGTTTTTCCAAACTTGATAGAGTAATCGATAATTAAAAACATATTTTAGGAATGTGCATTTTCATTTCAATCCAAACATTTGATAGTTTACTTTTCCAGTTGTAAATCTATGCTATATTTAACGTGTTTTAGCTCGTAGACTAGAAAAAGATGTGAAACTTGTGCTGGATGAGATATACTCAGATCCAACGAGGAAAGTAGCATTGATAACCGGAAGACAAGTTGAATTGGCTGAAGAATTGAGTAAGATATATTTATGTTGAACATTCTAAAAACACCCAGGTTCAAATTTGTCTGGTTAAAGGCACAGTTCAGCCTTTTGAATGATGGTTTTTAAGGCGCATTTCAGCCCTTTTGATTGAAAAAACTAACTAGGAAAATCAATTATACATAATGTTTTTAACATTTTAATTAAAACATTTTTATTGTAAAAAACATCGAGTTTACTGATCTTGAATTATGTATAATTGATTTTCCTAGTTAGTTTTTTCATTTAAAAGGGCTGAAATGCGCCTTAAAAACCATCGTTCAAAAGGCTAAACTGTGATTTGGGCAATATTCCTGGTTATATTTCCTCGTTATTTTATCTCACGAGTCTTGTTATATTCGACCAGGACGCTTAAAATAACCAGACTATGTTATAGATGGACAAATAAATAACTTCTCAAACAAATTACTATTATTATAACTCAACTTATTAAATTTGTGCATGGGTATAATGTCTTAATATGTTTGAGAAAAGAGTTCTTGTGTTTTAATAATCCCTGTTCTGTATCCATAATTGGTAATATGTTTGTTTTTTAGAACGTGTTAGGCATATCCAAGAAAGTTTGGAACAGTTTATTGATGCGTTGAGCAGAGAAAAATAAAAAGAGACTGTTCAACTATGACAGCGACGAAGTGAAGCAAGTTGATCAGTGAGGCTAAAAAACTCCATGAAGATTTGAGACAAATACGAAATTGGGCACAACGCTAGAAGACTATTAAAATACTAGAATATTGTAAAATAATGTGCTCTACCGATCTACAAACTTATTTTTATTTGTTTATCTTAAACAATTTGATTGGATGGTTGCAATAAAATAGCTTCCAAATGTGATTTTGCATTTTATCCTGGTTATATAACTACAACCCCGCTGGTTCCCGCCCAGTGAAATTAAAACCAGTGATATTCTTAATTTTAAATTCATTTGACAAAAAATTTCATTTCCCCATACATTTGACATCCTTGAAATCCCATTTTAAATTACATTTTTGCCTTTTTGGCAATCTCTGCATCATCATATTCTAAATTACTTTGAATGTGTCTGCGAGATTTAGTTCGTCTTTTCCTTGCCACCTTGCTGCTGCTTGCTGAAGGGAGTTCTAAATTTGTCAAAGAACCAGGCGAAGGGGATGCTGGCCTGCTCTCGCGAGAATAATTGCCTTGTGCAACGACATTTCTGCAGCCTGCTGGTGGCAATTTCACCACTGTAGACCTCGAGTTACTTTGTGGTTGACTTGTGAGCGAATTCCTTGAGTTTCCTTCAATTTTTGGCAAAAAAGATGCCCTAGTGTTGCCATTTTGCTTTCTTGTTTCGTCAGTTTCATGATCATGTTTTTCCACAGCAAGAGGCGGTATTTTTGAACTTCGTTTCGTTTGTCTGGCCTCCATGCTGTATAAACTTGCTTGGGAAGATGGTGGGGAACTTGTCTCGGGTGTTCTGATAGACTTTCTCGTCCGTATATCGTCGTATGGCGTTGGCGGTCTTTCTGAATTCCTTTTAAATGCAATCAAAGATGGATGACTGGGCTCTTTCAGAACCTGCGGTCGCCCGAAATCAACTAATGGAGCAAGAACAAGCTTTGTTTTTGAACTCTTCTTTGTACCTTGCGATGATTGTTTATTTTTAGGCAATTTTTTCATTGTTTAAGAGCTGCAAAACGCCCCTTGCGTTGCGTTGTCCAGTGTTTTTTCCGTTAGTAGGAAATACTTTTTGTGAAAACTTCAGTGAGCAGTGAAAATGCTGCTCAATCTTGTGACGTCATAATTGTGAGGGTAATTTAGGGTTTCATGAACGCTTACCTTATCATAAATGTTCCTAGATATCCCATAAAATATGGCGTCCTAAATGTTAAACTAATTTCTGTGAAAATTGAGTAAAACATTAACTATTTGATATTGAAAGACCAGTGGAAATACAAAAAGTAAAGGAGAGGAACTATTTAGCCAGCTCGCAGCCCCGGCGTTTACACAGCGCCAAAGTTTGATCTTTTTTTGTGGAATAATTCAATTTTAGAACTAAGTATATAAAGAATTGATGGATAGTCAAAAAATAAATTATTTGATCATTATTTAACATCGAGTCATTGACATAAACGGACAGTAATCATATTGAAGTGATCTCTATTATGTACATATATTTACTGTAAATAAAGCTTAGATACATGTTACGTGCATATATAATGACATAATTCATAAATTCTCTTGCAAATCTTTGAAAAGTTAAGTTTAAATTTTTTCAATTACATTATTTAACCATCATTGCCAGAGCAACTGGTTGACTAAATAAAAGCACCCATGGGATAAGAAATTTTTACAATTTAGTTTTTATGCCTCGTGGTCTCGCATGATAGAAAATAAGATACATATTCTTGCAAAATATTATCTTGGACTTGGTAGTTGTAAGTATAATTTTTGCTCATATACAAACACTTATAGCTGGGAAATTACGATATTAGGATCATGACTTAACTAATAAGATTATTAAACAACACTTGCAATGTTTATGCATGGGAGAGTCTTAAGACATCATAACTAGACTAAGTTATATCTTGTTCAATGTTCGTATTATTTGATGTTCTATCAAGGTCTGGTTTTCTCTGTAAAACGTTTATTGACCATAATTATTTCTTCTGCAATCTTTACACTTGCATTCCAAAACAAGCTCAACTAATTTCTCAACTGTCTTGCCTCCATCGCATGTTAATTGAACTTTTTGCCAAGTTGTCTTAGTGGGCTGACAACTATCGCAGTAGCTCAAACGCAGCTCCGAATTTCGTGGCATAATATCTGGTGATGTATAACTGAAACACTGACCAATACAGAACTTGTTTTGAAGTTTAGTTGATTCGCAGCCCTCATGGTCGATCATGTGGCTGATTTCCTGAGCTCTGCACCAACTTCGCGCTTTTGGAAAGAGGATAATGCTTTTCAATGATGGTGTTTTACCTGCCAATCGCAACTCTGCTTTTTTGGGTCTCGCTTCCATGGTTGTTACGAAGAGCATTAATATGATTGAAAATACTTGCATGGATCCAGTAGTCTTCATGTTGCTTCTAAAAAACAAATATAACATAGGTTTAGAAAGTTTGTAACAAGGCTTTTTGACATGCTGTAATTTATGTAAAGGTTAATTTCCATTGAGTCGTGTGGTGGTCACGCCAGCCAATGTATAATTTAGTATTCATATCCATATTACGCAGCTTAGTTGTTGAAACAGTAATTTTTATTGCCATGAAAGTGCTTCAGAAACCTCCGTCCAAAAAGGACGAGGGCTCCTGAACAGCTGCTTGTTCCTGTGTTTGTAAAACATACAAACGACAAGATCGTATTCACATCAGGAAACGACCGGTACAACAGCTGCTTGTTACTGTGTTTGTGAAACATATAAAAGACAAGATCTTTCATATGAGGAAACGACCGCCGGTGCAACAGGTGCGACCAAATGGAAACCACGCTTCGAGTCATGAAATGGTAGTACGTACATGCATGCATGGAACCAGGTTTACTGCAGTGATTTCAATGAAGGTGATATATGACTATGAGTTATATATATTTAGATGTTCAGCTGACGACCACGCAAGCACAATAATTAGTATGGACCACATGACTTAAGAAAATTCATTTGCATAGATTTGTCTTTGGATTGTAACACGATAACTACGGCATTTATTCTGCCGTTACAAATATTATCTTATAATTGAGTATGCGCATGCTCATAATGTTACAACGTAAACAAAGATGGACGCCTACATGCTTTGAAGTGAACTTAACGAACTTGTAACAGGCCGTTACCACAATGACGTAAACAACATTACTGCTAACCCAAACATGAACGAGACGGCTTCTTTATTCTTTGAGAATTGCCTTTGAACTAAAGCCGCCTTCCTAGTGTTGTTATTTTTACTATCATTCCTATTTTTGAAATTTTGCTATTCTTTATACATGTTTATTAAAGTTGTTATTACTACTCGTGTTGTTTCAAACACTAAAATTACATTTTACCAAGTGCATATCTTAGCCAAGTCCTCTAGTCGACAGAAAGGATCGTTGAAACATAGTTGTTGTAGTAGTTATCAAATACTGCTACCAACTAACATAAAGAAGAATGAATAGAATTTTATTTTGCTTGAGCATATGGCGTTTTATTCCCATATAGTGTCATAGCAATAATTTGACCAGCCTTTGAATTCGGTGACTTTTCTTAAAAAGGTAATAGAGGAATTTCGCTTCAGAGTTTCATGGTCATGTATTGACTGAAACGATTCTTTCAATTCAAACTTCTTGTGGGTATAATTAGAGAACTGATATTTACGAGCCACTCGAAGTGCTTTTTTTAACCATCTTGAGTAGTTCAGACACAAAACTATGGCAGCTTCAATTATGGAACACTATCTTACTCTGGAGCCGCACGTTTGATCATTTGAGATTTCATACCAGCTGAATATCCGTCCGCTCGTTAATGTCCCAACCTGTTAAACCATTGAAACTTTAGATCTAACTCGTATTCATATTACAATCATTGATATGTACTTGAAGAGATATAGGAATTTCCCTCTTCAGATAAATGAAGTTTCGAAGAGGTAATACATTATTGAAATGACGTCGACTGCGCCTTCAAGTCCCGCTCCATGCCTTAAATATTGCTTCTCAGTTCCTTAGAGATTGTTTAATCGCGACTTAATGGAACTAATTGTTGACAGGAAGGCCAACAATCTATGCAGTAATATAATCAATATATACCACGTTACATGTGTGTAAATTTACTACTATTACTAAAATAAGTTTGCCATATGTTGTAACAGCTTGTATAATTATGCGCGACCTACGAACCATTCCATATATAGGCAGTCTTCTATATTATTATGTGCTCATATAAACTATCTAAAGTTATCCCACAGCTAACGCATATACAGTTGAAGAAAGATATGATATATATAGCTACGTAATTTTTAAAAAATATTATATTTTTTCAATGCAACAGTTTTTCCTGTTCGATTGTTTTCCTAACAATGAATGAATTTACTTCTTTTGAAAAGAAGTCAAAATTATAAACATATATAGCTTGTATCACAAACTGCATCACAAGGCATTTGCTACGGGACAAAATTCTTTGGTAAAAAACATGCAAGATTCCTTAAAAATATATAGAACATGAAGGTAACGGAAAAGAAGTAATTACTTACCAGCAAAAATGCTACAGGAGTACAGAGCTTCAACTTGCTACAGTATGTGTATAAATGTATTCTTTCTCAAGAGTGTTGATTATATATATAACGTGTATTTATGATTCGTATCTATCGCATTCTCTTTGCAGAGGTTCGTTGCCCACTCATTTTATAATTTATCGGCGTCAGTAGGGATAGCTTACCCGTTCTGTTTCACTAAGTTGCCAAGGTATTGAAGCGTGGGATTCATTTGTGGGGAAACTCACTACATATATACATATCAAACTTGAGATAAAATATTCGCTTTATGTGTTCATGTGCTTATGGAAAGATTAAAAAAAGTGTTACAAATATGCGATATCAACATAGTCAAAATAGCGAAAATCAGTGGCAAATTAGATCAACAATTAACAAAGTATTTTTTACTCGGAGGCGGACAAATCAATTTCCCCCTTAGCAAAATTAAGTTGATTGAATCTTAGTTTACTAAACCATAGTCAAAAGAAATATATGTAAACTTTAAGCATTTCCGGGCTTACATGTTTATCTTTTTTTAATAATTTTTAGCATTTATAAAACCGTTAATATCAATCAGAATGTCAATTTAACAGTTAATTTCAATCAGAATGTCGATTTAATCGTTCATTTCAATGACAATGACAATTATAAAACCGTTGTTATCAATGACAATCAAAGCAATTTGTGAGTCCTCTAATTAGTCTAGTAAATTTCCTTTCACTTGATAATTAGATTTAATCATTTTGTATAATTATGGATGTTTATATGTTCTATATTGAATATGAAACACTTCTTGCAAAAAAGAGTTTAAAGGTAGACCTTTGTTATATGGTACTTTATTAAACCAACCTTATAGTGGCACTTAAACAAAATGATAATTGGGGGTAGCTAACACAACTTTGAAACACGTATATTAAGTAATATAACTGAACAAGCTTTCGTTCGTACAGGGATTCAACTACCTGAAAATATATAAGGATATGATAATTTCAACGTTTCGAGCGAAGTTCAGGACTCCAAACGAAGGGTATTCGCTCGAAACGTCGAAATTCTCATATATTTTCACTACCTACAATGGCAAAAACAGTTCAAAAGTAATATAACTGCATGTTCAAACAACTGTACACATATACAGCCAATTCAAAAAAAGTTGTCCTTTGCAAACTAAGCCTTAAACCGTAAACTCTAAGCGCGCATATATTGCAGCTATTTGTGAATGAACAGGGCCCGGTTGTCAGTTTAGCCTGCTGTTTTAGTTTGTGTATTTCTGCACGTCTGTTTATTTCAAAACTTCAGAGAAGAAAACTCCTATCAATCCAGACAAGATCTCTGAATAAATATTTCCAAATTTATAGACATGCTGTCAGGAAGTTTGCTTTGAATTTTAGGTTAACCTAGGGTTAAGCTAACCCAGCTTTGAACAACCGGCCCCATGTCTCTAAGAAATGTGCCCCATGGCCACGTATGTATGATCTCTTTATGATTTCTAAACTAATTAAACGATGCTCCCATTATGCTTTGCACGCTTATAGATTTTAAGGTTTAGAGTTTAAAACCTTGCAAAGCCAAGGAGGACAACCTTTTTTGAATTAGCTGTATATATGTATGACAAGTATAACCAATAATTATACACATATCGAAGTTCTATAGTTGTATAAGAGTGTTTCGACTAGTACCGGATTTGAGGTAAAGGTAAATTGAATTGAAGAGCATAAAATTCAAAATGAGAAGAGAATGCTTGACAATATGATAAAAATGAAACGATTCAATGATACAAAAATCTCAACAAATAGAGGAATGAAATTCGAATGACTGAAGTGCAGCCTATATAGGCTATATATGCTGACAAATTAATTAATTGAGCAATAGTTGTGCGTAATTTAGAAATATGTGATTTATTCACACATTGGATTAAGCTATCAATCTTGAAAGAAAGAAATATTGTTTCATGCGGTCAAGCTCCTATCTTTGGATGTACACTAAGTACAGTATACTTTACAATATAAATGTGCAATTGTTAACATTTTACAAATTACAAAAAATCAGTTTTGACATGTTGAAATACTACCGACCATGCATGCATATTTATTCTTCTTATATATACATGTCAAAACGTCCATAAAAGTAATCAGAAGCATTTCAAATGTCCGTAAATGCTTAAAAGGTTTATCACGTTACCTTAATATATATTATGCTCTTACTTTTTATAAAACATGCCCTGTACCAAGAAAGAATAACGTAGCTCACAATGAAATAAATATCTTTAATTACTTGATACAAGAGATCTCAAACCAACCATTAATTAAAGTTTTAAGACTGAGACCGATTGAGTATACATAACACGTCATGACACGTTTCTTGGAGTAAAACTAAACATTGCTAAAATATTCTTTTGAAAATTCCCTTACATGAAAACTACTACATGGACATGAAAATACATGAAGGAAACATTACCTTTTGTCACTTAGCCAACTTTTAAAACCTGTTCCCTTCCTCACGTTTCAAAATATACGGTTAATATCAGACCTCTGCAGGTCGTGTGATGCGTATTTATACTCTATACTATAGTTACTCTCAATTGCTTCCGAGACTCATTAGAAATAAACGATCAATATTGGATAATGAAAATATGTAAACTGCCTGATCACTGCATTCATGATGTTTACTCCAGTTAGCTAACAAACATTGTTCAAGACTTTGTAAATGAAATTGTCCTGTTTTTAGAAACACCACGAGTTTTACCTCATGAAAATCCTGTTTAATAAATTCCGATCGTATTTTAACTGTGTTGAGAATAGACCTCGCCTTTCCAGCCGGTTACATAAGCATTTGTGACCAGAACGTTTCGTATCATGAATATACTTCTGTATCTTTATAATTCATTCATTAAACATTTATTTATTGATTGACATTGCGAGAAAGAAAGGTTCTTATAAACTGATTTCCAGTTTTTAATTTGGTGGAGAAATAATTCGAAATTAAAATATTTCGGTTATGTACAAAGGATATATGATGGTTTATTATTTCCACTAATGATATTGTGTTATCTTTTAAGTTCCTAAGTCAAACCACCTACAATTCACAAAAAACTGGATGAAAAAAGAGAAAATCTAAGGCATGCATGGTCAATCGTTGTTCCATTCAAGCATGCATGAAAAGAGAATGATTTGGTATTGCTAAGTCATGATATAACCATCATACATTTTTCCCATTCTAAAACTATTATGTATACAATATATCTGAATTAGTATTCATCAGTTTTATTGTTCAGAAATTATTCTTAACCACTTATCTGTTGTAAATGTTTCAAATAATTCAATCAGAACAGTTTAAAAAATAAAGCCTCTTATAGAAAATATGCAATTTGACAATAGAGCAGCTATTCAATATCATGAGCTATATTCAGATACAATCATGAGCTATTTACATTATTTACCATCAAACGCAAGATGTTACAGTAGATCGGTTTCGATCAAACTAAGTAACCATTGTATCAATTAGTAAGTAAACAGAAACAATTTGTTTTTCTTCTGTAACAAACCTTGCTGGCAGTATCATATTCATTACTTGTTCTAATCATGTGGGTTGGAATCTCTGCGGCTGTTAATGAAGTAAATCGTTTGTGACAACTATAAAGTAAGTCTTTATTCAATGAGAGGCAAGTTTTGAAAATTAATAATTTTTTATCCTTCGAATTACATATATAAACGGAATAAAAAGAAACATATAGTGAGTATAGATTACAAAACGCTATTATATGAAATAAAACTAACTCAAAACCTTTTCTCAAATGTCTCGGAGCAACAAAATATGCAAATGCATTGGAAGTACTGCATGATCATTGCGGAACCACTGATACTTCAGTGAGAAAAGCAACTCGTTCGCCAACTTCTTGTCAACTTTCATGCATATACTCGTCAACTTTCATCGACTCAGAGTTAGTTCAAAGTTTTTACAGGTTCGCAAGATAATTCAAAAGATAAAGTCATGAGTTGAAGCCTTATTTAGCATTCACGTTCTCCGCACCTTATCATGTTTTGCATTTTCAAAGGAGAAAGAGTAATTTCTGTAGTGCTGTGAGTGCATGCTACACAATGAACTCGCTGTAGGCTATAATTGTCTTCAAATATGAAAACATAAAAATTAAAGTATTGCCGACGTTACCTGAAATATTTCCCCCTCGGGCTCATCTCATTAGTTGAGTTTAATGAACGTGTTGTTTCACGCGGCTACATGTTTCGGTATTGTAGTTTAGTGACACTTGTGGACAGCACGATTTCTATAGCTGATAATGAGCCATTTTGCTTAAATGAAGTGAACTGTGCTTTTTTAGAAAATTATTTCATCCAATCAGTTATATAAGTCAGTTTAGGAAGCCGAAAGCACCCCCTATGGTCAAAGGAGTTTTACAAAGACATATTTCATTGACCAAAAAACAAAAATTACCATAGTTGCTGTAAACTTGAAGGTCTTGTATTTTTATATATCGATCATTCTTAGAAAATAATTTCAGTAAGGACGTTGCTAAAATTTGTGATTCGGTAATCAAAAGTGCAAGATGAGTCGTTATGTAAAAAAATATTCCACACTATGTGTTTCATTGTTGTAATCAACCAATCACAAAACTTATTCGTATGGTTTCGTGATGGCTCAATAATTTTAAGTAGCAATAATTTCCAGTTAACTATTTGAACATGAAAGAATAACTGTTTTGCTGTCTTGGACTTGGGAAAGACGTTTCATATCTAGCAGTATAGTGTAGCAAACAAAACATGAAAATAGGAAGCATTTACTGTGCTCAAAAATCTTCATGTTATAACTGTTCAAATATTACTTCAAGCTTCTTTTGAAATAAAAGGAATTCTAGAGAGAACATTTTATTGTGTTAGCAAGCATGCTCAGACTGTCCTCTTCACACGAGTACGACATCTATCAAATAATTGCAAGTCAAACAAGCATTACGAGATAAATATCTTCATTTCTAAAAAGGTTCTCCATTTTTAAAAAATCATACTTGTGAGATATCGATATGGGTTCCAATATTAAAGAAGGCCACTCTACTTTTTATTATATAGCTGCTCGGTTTTTCTCATTCTGTTACAACCTTCACTTTTTAATTATAGTTGATAATTATGTTAAGCTACCATTATACATGTAATCTTTTTGTATCGCTTACATTCTTATAGATGAATATCTTCTCTCTGAACGTTGTGTAGAACCACGTCGTCTGCTAATCTTCTTCTGTAGTTGGAAAGATCTGTCTCTGACTGCAATGCTGCAATCGAAAACTGGCCATTTATATAGGATCCGTTAGGATCTCATTATGATGTGGAGGCCTTGAAAATTAATTAAAGTACTTGAATTTCAGGATGATGCATGGAGGCAACGTACAGTGGGGGCAATCGACTTTTCCCATATAAGGTTGTAACATATGCCTATGGCCATGCCTCAGTGTCAGTTGGAAGTTTCTAGAATGAATTTGGGTGGAATCGACAATGTGTACATAAACATTGTGGCTATATTCTCCAATGACATTTTTTCTCACAAAATAATTCTCTAAAATGTTGCTATGTTGGGAGTAAACACTATAGAGAATATTTTGTGTGGGATGATGAAACTAGAGATGAATTTTTTTTAAAACAATTGAAATACAAGTATATACCCACACAAGTCTAAATGTTGAAAATATATTTTGGGAGAATTTAGAGCTCTAGAAAAGTAGAATTGTTTCAAAGTCACCTGTTTCAAAGTCAACTCATCTGTGAAGCTTGATGACATCCCATATACTTCTCCAACTGGAATTCATGTCCATGTAAAGCATGATTTGGACAAATTGAACATTTTCTGTTTCAATATTGCAACATCTTAGAACGATGATTATATATTGTTCCAATATTTTGAATGAATTCATTTATCTTGCTATTCGAACGTGCTATATTTGATAGTTACTCAGTCTCTAAGTGAGGTATTAACGTATTCTGACATCACACCAACTAAAATGTTACTATATGATGAGAAGAAAATCTCCAATGTTGATAAATGCTGTTCCAATTTGTCTCCTGTATAAGAGAACGTTCTTGAGTAAGAGACTTTTAACTCCTACAGTAATAAACGTAATTGTGTAGGGTATCTGCCAGGTGGGATTAACCTTAAGCCGTTAAGGTCAGTTATTTAACCCATTAAGTTGCATTCCTAATGTGCCCTACTTTGTTAACGACAGACGATTTTACTCATCAAGGAGAAGGGGTTAATCAGACCATCTGCTTCTATATAGTTAACCCAGCAAGTTACATTGTGCCCTAATTTATTATTTTACTATGTCGATCTAACGATTTACCGGTCAAGGAGAGAACAATATAGGTTAATGTATAAAGCTCAATGGGTTAATGTATAAAAAAAGGAGGAAAAACAGAGATTATAGTACATCATGCCTCTCACATCAGCAATGTTCACATGTGTGATAATTATATTGCTGGGTTAATCCGCTCTTACCATTCCAACAATGTTTAGTACGATCAAATGCTAGGAAACAAGTCTAAAACAGCAAGCAAATTACAAACGATTCTAGTAATTTCTACGCAATGTGGGAAAATGTTTCTGCTTAGAATTAATGAAATGTGTGGTTTCCTATACACTTCAAAGTAAGTCTTGAACTTCTTGTACTTGTTGACATTTTACTCAGGCCACCTCAGACAGTGTCTCGAAGGTATATTGGATTTCTTCTTTATAGTGGTATAAACCGCACAAAATTAACCCAATGGTTTTGGTTTAAACACATTTCAGACGTCATTTTACAATTTTAAAGGTAGGGTACAGTCCGTATGTAAACAAAGCCTTTGTTTACATTTCGGTATTCAAAATATTGAACTTTATTCGAAAACTGTTTATATTTTCATGCTTCTACAGTATAATAAATGATCAAGATACAACAATCAGGCTTTGCAAGAACATAAAATGAAATAAAAACCTAATTAAAGTCACGGCAGGAGACTCCTGTGTGCGCATGCGCAGACTGGACTGGACCCTATCTTTAAATGACCGAAACTGCATGTTTATTTGTGTTTATTGGCATTAGAGCTAATTTAAAAAGTTCAGTATACTCGATGAAGCAAAATACAAACATTTAAGACTCTGCATGCGCCGTAACTGTTTTAGAATTTAGTATAACACATTGTCATTGAATGCAAGTATGCATATATGCTGGCTTTGACAGGGTATATAGGCATGGGGTAACAATTTATAAGATAGGGATACAACTATACCTGAAAGATACAAGGAGAACTTCGACGTATAGAAGTTACCAAGAAGAAGTTAGTAGTTATTACTGAGCCAAGAAGAAGTTAATAGTAGCTAAGTAGCCAGTTGACTATATATTAACTTCGATCCCAACGAAGTGCCTTCGCTCGAAACGTCGAAGTTCTCCTTGTTTTTTTCATTTAGTTGTATCCCTATCAATCTGAAACTTTCTCATTATTGCCACTACCTACACTAGTACAGATCTTTCAAGTTCTCCTTGTATTTTTCATTTACTGAGTTGTATCCCTGACTGACTGTTGTATCAAAGACTGTTCAAGGTAACAATTTCTACAAATATTTGCCCCTATAGCTGTGGTTATAGGCCGTCTGTTTCAAACATCGAACTTTTCGTGTGTGAATGAGCTTAATTAAACAAAGACATTACTAGATTCAATCGTTGAAAAGATCAACAGTTAAAAGCGGCTATAGAGACGGTTGCATGTGGAGGAGGTCATATCGTAGCGGATTGAGAAACATAGTTTAATATTAATGAACATGCAAGGGTCTGTTCAGAGGTTCAGGGTTATATATAGTGAGTATATACTCATAATTAACTTTCCCACCGTTCTCATGTAATAATTGGATAGGAGGTGGGGTAGAGGCGTCTTTTATTGAAAATCTATTTTTATATTGAGTTTTTGAGTCGCGTTTTGGCGCGCAATCTTCAATGGGCATGCCTTGACAGACCGGAAAATTTCGTAGATTAAATAAACACCAGAGAGCGTTCAAAACTCAATATGACTAATCCTAGTTTCGTTTAAAAACTCTTTAAAAGTTATTTTTAGTGGATCTAGAGTATATTTATGTTTTTTTCTTTGAACTATAAAGATAGTAAAAAGATAGGTTTTTGTTTTAATGGTACTCAATTTTTTGTGTGCCTATACGATGTGATCTATTTCTGGCCCTTTATTTGTATTACCGAAGAGAGTTCAATCAATTTTTGGCCAGAGTTCCAATTTATCGGTTACTATATTAATTGAGAGCGTCCAAAAACTCACTAGTGAAAGACACTTAATTGGATGCATGCACTCACTAGTAACCACTGTGACTGTGTGCCACCACCAACACATCGTCGCTATCACACCATGTAAAGCTGCCAAGAATTAATGAACATTTCTTTGTCGAGACTTCAAGTGACCTAAACAAAGTCTATCGTGCGCATTGCCACGTTTTAGGTCTCGAAATCCAACAATACACTAAATTGATATACCATTTACGGGAAACGTATGTAAAAATAATCTTTCATTTAATTGTTAACTGGCCGTTAAAACATGTGGTAATCCATTCATAATACGGATATGTAGTATTCAAGTACCACTCCACTTATTCCACTTAACGATGTTGCTAATGGTTGTGACGTCAGGAAAGTGGTCTTACGCACGTGCGTGACGTCATTGCGCTGATATAAACTGACACGCACGAGATTGGTTGGCCGGTTCAATATGATTCATTGTCACACAAAGTTAGTGATGTTGACCTCCTCCACAGACATCTCCTACTTCAACTGTGTTGCCTGGATTCTGCACGTCAATGGCGATGCTTGCGAAGGAGGCCAGTGCGATGTGTGAGAATATATGAGAAGTCATTTTGTTTATCAATCCAATTCATCTATTATCACTGTAAACTTCGGACAATCAAAGCCCAAGGCTTATGCACGGAAGGGCTTATTATGGGGAATGCATGGATGAAATTTTATGTTAGTTATAACAAATACACAATGAATGGAAACAATAACATTTCCTCCTGAAATAATAAAACATTATATTCAACCTTTCTTGAGCCTCGATACGATAGTCCTGTTTAATTTTTTAAACATCTTTAAATGCACTTGTATTTGTTGGAATATTCGGAGTGGTCTATGGTGGGCTTATACACAGGGGAGCTTTGTGTTCGGGTTGGGTTGGGTTGGGTTAGGTTGTAGGTATAATATTTCTATTCAATCTCGTTGGAAGTTCAGTTTCAAGTTAGAGTATAATTGGAAAAGTGTTCAAATATGCTTTGTGTTTACACATCTAAGGCTCAGGTAGTGTGATATAAGAAGCTGGGTTGCGTTTTATAAAACTATACACAAGTTTTTTCTTGACGATTCTGATAAATAAATTGTTAGGACGCTCGAGGGACTGAGGCACAGTAATAAGTACTTACTTTGTAATTATAATAATTATCTTTCAGCGGTTAATGAATTAATTACAATATTGTGCAACTATGGCAACAATGACACATTTCAATAGTTACGATGTCTTGTTCCACTTTATATCGATGTTTCCAGATCAAAGTCGTTGAAAACGGTGGAAATAGGAATTTCAACGACAACCACAGCCTTTGACAATTTTCCAATTTTTGATGAGACTTTCGATAGATTTCAAGTGTTCAAAAAGGTTTTGTGTACTAACGTCAGTAACGTGGTACCCATAAATAACGAATGGCGACTAAATGATTTCTCATAGCAACTGCTTTTCTAGAAGAAATTTATGTGGAAAAGCAATTGCTCGAGAAGAAATTTGGGAAAAGTAGGAAGCATCAATAAACAAGCTCCTACATGACAGGTTACCTAGTTACCGTGACTTTCCCCTCACCGAGAAGTGTAGCGAAATAACCAGGAACGCCGGAACGATGTGAAGGCAAGGGGGGGGGCAGATTTTCGTGAAAGGGCACTTTTGACTTGATATATACTAAGACATGTTTGAGAAGAAGATATCGTTACAAAATCTTACAAAATCCACTTCCGACCGACAGTTTTAGTCAATATAAAATAGAACAAATTCTGCCAAAGAAATACATTTTAATCGGCATATCTTGGATTTTCAAGTTGCATTTCTTCGTCAAATTTGTTTTATTTTAAACTGTTACAAACCTAAGCTAATATAAGAATGGCATTTACGGTTGCACAACATTGTGCGTATGCAAACTGGCGAGACAGTCTATATTATAGTGGCATTTGCTAAGAGGTTCACGAAATAACGCTATATCTGCCCTTGTGAAAGCAACTTATCATATGTTCTTCCTTTTTGTCTTCATAAACCTACTTCCACCACTTCCTAATTTGTATTGGAGTCTGCCAAAGTTGACAATGATTTGCATCATTCAAGGCTATTGCACAACTCAATTGAAAGCAATTCCTAAGAGACTTTAACTTGCAATACTCGACAGAGCTATCTTTACAAATAATAATCTGTTCATCTGTGCCCATCCCTTTTAAACAAAATCCTCAGGTATTCTCGTATTACTGGACCGAAACGCTCTTCATTGGGTCTCTAGGGAGAACAGTTTAAAACAGATAGAGCTATCCAGTAAAAATAAAGTTAATTTAGTTTACATTTCCACCTGTAGTAACACTGGACCAATAACCCTTACTGGAACTCTATCAGTAGAAGATGCAGTTTAGATCTGATAGAGCTATCCAGCATAAACATAGTTTAGGCAATAATAACACTTGAACGATAACTGGAGCACAAGGAAGAACAGATTAGAACTGAAAGAGCTCACTAGTATTAAATAAAGTTAGTTTATTTCACGTGCGTGCTATCATGATGGTATGCTGATCAGGAAGAAGTTAAGAGGCAATTAATGATGGCAGATAATGACCTTGTTAATTGGCGGTAATTTTAAACATATATATTGATTATCGGATATCCGGCTGTGGGTGGATTTATAAAGACACATTATAGTTGAGTGGAATAAAAATTTGGAATATTAATTCAAGTCCTATGCACAATGGCGGTGAAAAAGAAGCCCAAAGTTATTATTAGACGAACTATAATAGTAATTAGTAAAACTACTCCAACATATCAAGAAGATGCACAATATTTAGATTGTTTGATATTTGGAAAGTTCTTTCTTTGTTTTCAGCCCTTGACAGCAGCCTCTGCCAACGTACTCGTTGGTGCTTGAAACAGAGATGTCCACACCGTGCCCATCTCTACCTTGTTTGAAGCGACGAGCTTTACTTTTCTCGCCATGAACGCGTTTTCTTCTTTTGTGGACTTTCTTTTTCCTGCGGGGTTGTTGAGATTTGTCACGCTTCCATCGAGTCTCTCCTTCAAGACTGGAATGTCGGCGACACTTGACTACGGTTGCAATCAACTCTGGCAGCGATTTTCCGTTGTAGTCTTCCTGGGTCTACGCCAACACCATTCCTCGCTCTTCTGGAATCATCTGATTTCGATTCATATATGATTTTGCATTTCCTTTTGACTAATGAATATCTCTCTGTTGGAATCCATCGCGACATTCGATATGACACTTAACTAGGTCGACAATTTTTGTAGAGTTTGTGGCATATTTCCGAGTGATTAATGTCTATGGCACATGTCAGGAAAAATTGTCACCACAAGCTAAAATACGTCTTCTCTTTGATAACTACAGTTGCAAGAGATACAATCATACAACTACCTGACAAATACAATTAGAACGTGCAGAACGACGTTTCGAGCGACGAGATGGGTTAGGTGCATCTGGTTAAGAGAGGCTAGTCTTAGAGTGGGGAGTAGGGTGAGGGTTAGGTTATCAATGTGTCTGTATGATGATATAAATGATACAAATGAAGAGAATGTATTGTATATTGTGTCTCCACCCACATTATCGTCTGTCTGCGCGTGCGTACATCTGAGCCAATCACAACCCTATCTAAGTTCCTAATTATCTGTGTTCTATCCAACCCGCAAAAATATGGCGATAAACCTTTTCTCCTCAAAACAACACCATATTAAATCGCGATGCATTGTAGTATAGCAAAGATCGAACATTGTCCATCCAGCGTCATTAAAGAGATCCCAGAATGGTGGTCGGTATCGTTCGGTTTAAGGTCGGAACATATCGGAGCACGATTGCAATCCGATTAGTGGAAGGAAGTTTTGATGAAAATGGCTGGATAAATTCGAATTTATTTTACGATAAATTCTTATCTCACACTTAACTATGGCTAAAGAAGATACCGAACAGAATCGCTATGGCTATCAAGAAACACTTGTGAGTATACAGTTTTCCTGTGATAAATTTTGCAAAACAAGGGACGGTATTGACAGTCAATAAGTGGTGTACATCTTTGCGATAGTATAAACTTCTAGTATATTTTATATTTCTCTAAATCATTACATAATTTACCAATTCGTAATAAGATCACTCAGTCTTTTATTAGCAATTTATACATTGCTTCATAGTTCGTAACTTAGTGAATAATATCAGCATTCTTTAAGGTGTTTATTTACACATTAAAGTTGTTTATTTTCATTTATGACTATTTAAATACAAACAAAAGCAAACACATAATCAAGAATTAAAGATGCAGTAGAATCCGTTCTGCGCATGCATACATTGGAGCCTCCAGTTTGTGATACAAACGACTAAGGTTCTAAATGCTTCAGTTCTTGCGAAACCTGCTCACGCTACACTGATCATATATTTCATTAAGGGAAGCAGGAAAATGTTAATAAATATAGGTTATCATATGAGGGCTGAGGTGATATCATAAATGTTGCGAGTGAGCACAACAACATCATAAATGTCATGACTAAGTGCATTGAACAAGGTCCATTTATGATATATTGTCCTGAAAGTGATAAAACTGATGTGATAACGATAACCTGTTTATTAATATACAGGGTGTATAAAAAAAACTGAACAGATTTGAAATTGCTCTCAATTTTGTAAAACAACTATTAGTATCCAGTTTTTGATGTATATAGCTTCTTTGGGTACTTATAATGTAAAATAATGAAAAAAATTTCAGACAATTTGCTTTAGTTTAAGCCCTTTAACTATTCAAACTTACATTTTTTGCCTAAGTTGCATATAAGGCATTAATTAAGAATGCGAAAGGCTGATTTTTTAGGAAAAAATGAATAGTTAAAGGCTTAAACTAAAGCAAATTGTCTGAAATTTTGTACAGTAATTAAAAACCCAACATATTTTCCATCTATTAACTAAAACTAGCATTTATAGAAATTAGGATATAATTTCTCGCTGAATCGAATGGTGGTATTTTCATCTACATAGCATGTACTGAACCGAAGATATGAATATGCAAAATAGTATTCCAATATCGATCTACTTTTCACAGGGCCTGTCACCCAGGAGTTAAAGCTTTTAAATTTTGCGTGCAAGCGATTTTTAGTTTGTTGGAAAAGACACCCGCCTGGCTCACCAAATTTGAGTTTCGAGAAATTTTTTTCATTATTCTACATTATAAGTACCCAAAGAAGCTATATACATAAAAAACATGATACTAATAGCTGTTTTGCAAAATTGAGAGCAAATTCATATCTGTTCAGTTTTTTTATACACCCTGTATTATACTTGTACTTAGGGTCAGAATTTATTAGGTCAATATAACAGGACCAAAAGTGATATCAGTGGCAAAAAAACAATATCAGTAACATATTGTTTTTATGTCACCCTGTTATTGCCCTGATAAAGACACAAACTGTACGTGATGAAGTTTGTTATTTGGATATGAAGATTTTTGCCTCCGCCCCCAAAAAGTGTTGTGTTTTTTGGTCAAACATTCAGTCCTAACATTGTGAAATTGAATTTGAAAATGGCAACATCTGATTGGTCTGTGGGATATTGTTCTGAAATTAGTTATTAAAATAGTTTGGCAGTTAAGAAATAATTGACTTAGGAATGTAGTTGCATTCTTGGACATTTGACATGAAAATTTGACGCATTTTTTTTGGCAAGAGTCAGCATCCTCGGTAATAAAGAGAATTATGAGCTAGGAATTTAGATAGTTGAAACTTTGTAATGACATAATTTTCTGCATGGCACATTTGCTATGGCAACTACTTGAAATTCTTTCCATACCAGTACTGGTGTGTTATTTATAGTAAGGAAAAGTGAATATTTTTAACAAGATATTGAGTAATTTGAATCTGATTTCTATTTGTCAGCTAACTACATGCATTCTGTGCTCATGACAAGAAGCCAACTCATAGTGTCAACTGTGCCATGTTCTGCTTTGGGATAAAATTGCAGTTACTGTAAATCATTACATATACATGTAACATTTCAATCATATTTGAATATGCAAAACATTGCTTGAAGAACAATTACTTTGCATATGGTTGACTCACTTTAAAGTGCACCTTTCTTTATTTTGCTTGACACAGAAGCCAAATTACCGTAGGCCAGTGCTATATGTGAAGCCCCAATGGACTATTGCCAAAACAGCGAATCGTTCCTCTCGCTAAGAAAAGTACAATATGTTTTCACATCAAAACATTCAGGAATGTGACGACATTCCTAAAATTGTGAAATTGACACATTTTTTCAGGAAACAGTGGTTTTGGTAATATTGATCAATTCAATACTTTGACATGCATATTTTAATTTTTCTAGTTTCACCCACATGTTATGATTCAGCTGCAATTTTAGACTCATGCACTAGAAGTGTAGCAATGGGGCGGGGGGATTGGGTGGCCAACCCCAACCCCCATTTCAAAATTGAGGAGAAACGTGTGGGGGCAGTGTAACTTCTTAATGTTTTCATTAAAAAATCCCAAATCTGTGACTTTCATAAAACATGTCTAAAATGCATGAAATAATGTTTCACAGATCCTAAAAATAGATTTTTTTCCAGGGTAACATGCTTCCGGATGGTAAGACGATTAGATTTAGACACCAGGGCTGCAAATTACTGTCGGACATCAGACAATGTCCGACTAAATTTGGCAAATGTCCGAGCAAAAGTAATTTTGATCGGACATTGGTCAGATCACAAAAAAAATTGTCACATTATACATTTTTTTGCTGTGACAAAATCCGATTGCAAAATTCAAAATTCACTCAATTTGCATTTTGCAATAAAATTTACGAGGCATTCTAGCATTTTACTTACGTTGCGCCGGAATGGCTATACATACTTGTCTTGTGACTTATATATATATCTTGTGACGTATATTTGTCCGACCAAATTTAGTGGTGTTGGTTTTTGTCCGACCAAATTCAAGTTATGTCCGACCAAAATTAAAAGTGATCGGACAAATGTCCTGTCAAGTCACATATTTATTTGTAGCCCTGAGACACCCTCACTTGTTTGCCTATGATACAGACCATGTCACTTGGATGTACAGTCAATATATACAATGTAATGAATGATTGGCATATATATCCCCAACAATGGGTTTATCTGTTTATAGTGAACAATATGCCACTATTTATGCACCATAACTAACACTTTACATATACACCTAATGTGCCTATTTTTTTGTAGATGTATGGCTGTCATACAACTCAAGAATTACAGGATTATGCCAAAAATTTTGCGGCTGAATTACGAAGTCAAAGTTCTTGTGAAGAGCAAGTGACTGAACCAAGTGAAGATCACTTTCAAACATACAGCCCGTCAAGATGGGGCAAGATGCGAAGTCAGTGACATATCCTGTCATGTCTTTATGTATAACGTCATATTCTAAAAACTTTGTTCTTTTTCTAGGACAACTCAAAAGAATTTCAAAGCCAGTTCAAGAAAAATTTGACAGCGATTGGTTATTTTTGTTGATTTTGGGCATAATAGTTGCTCTCATTAGTTTTGGTTTGGATTTCTCCATTGATAAATGTCAACAAGGTATTTAATCTAGCGTTGTTCTGTTACCAGCCACTGAGTTTCATTTCTAAACAGTATTCTAAGCAGATAGTGTTCCACATGCAATATGCTTCATTTCAATATTTTCTTTTCATTTTCTTCCAGCTCATTTGTGGTTGTATTCTCACGCTACAGACAATATTTTTGCTCAATATTTGATCTGGGTTCTCTTCCCAGTTTCTTTAATATTTTTCTCTGTTGGCTTCACACATCTCGTATCACCTCATGCTATTGGTAGGTACATCGCTGTTCAATCTCAGTTTAATCTAGATATATAGCTGGTCCTCATTCAAGCAGAGAAGGGAGTCTGCAGACCAACTGGCTTTTGTGACTCATCATATAACATAATATTTAATATAGGTTCTGGTATACCTGAAATGAAGACTATTTTACGTGGTACAATTCTTAAACGTTATCTTTCAATACCAACGTTGATTGCCAAAGTGGTGCGTACATTATTACTTTGCTTGTTTTCGACCCTCTCTGACGATCTCTCTTGAGGGACTCAGGTCAAGATGATTTATTTTGTCAAAGATAATGAGAAGAAAGTAAATCATTATTCGCTAATAATGACATGCAATAGCAAACGAAACCTGAAGCCTTAAAAAAACTGCAGGATTTTGTTTCAGATGCCCAATCTCCTTCACGCTCATGATTTCTTTTGTGTTTTCTTTATGAATTATTAATGAGAATTACAAGCACAATTGAAATTGATAGGCGACAGAGAATTGACTTATATATGTTCAGCAGGATACAGTTTTGAATGTATAGTACATGTTGTTTTTCAGGTTGGTTTGACTGCTTCTCTTGGCAGTGGAATCCCAATAGGAAAAGAGGTGAGATTAGTGATTGAAAACATTGTTGAGATTGTTGGTTCAATTGTTCCTGCGGACTCACAACACTTTATGTGAAAAGAGTCAGTCAACGCTCTACTCAAGTTGTGGGAATATCCACAGGGCGGGTTGGCAAATATCAAAAACTAATTCTTCTGTCGTGGCTACGCTTCTTGATCGGGCATGAGTTATGAGTGGCAGTTATCACTCGATCACGTTGACCTGCGTAATTCAACTCCGCTTTCATCTGCAAGTAAGGATTATGACACCCCCCCCCCCGACACACACACACTTAGTTCATAGAGTAATACTCTTGTTATTATTTTAGGGTCCTTTTGTTCATATTGCTTGTATTGTTGCCAGAGCACTGGGGAAGTTTGTCACTTCGTTTCAAGGAATATTTATGGTAACAGAATATTTTAAAACATGATGCATGATGAATGATTAATACATGTGACGCCTGGGCCTAGGCTTGACTGTATGATGTAGTTGACTTATTAGAGAGGTTCAGATTTGAATTCCACTACAGTGCCTCACACTCGTTTAATTGGACGAACTTCTTTACATATCTTTTGTAGAATGAATCTCGTAACACAGAGATTCTTGCAGCAGCTTGTGCTCTGGGTGTGTCAAGTTGCTTTGCGTCACCTATTGGAGGTATTACATAAAGTGTCCTAAAGGCATTAAGCAATATAGTTACAAAAGTTTATTTTTGTCATTTACGTTAGGAAATCTTAGAAGACTAGGTTGTGACATTTTTTTGCATGATCATTTTTTTGCTCATTGTTTTGAATGTATGATAAAAACAATTATTAAACTGACTGTACATGATATCAAGAAATATCCAGATCTCTTTCAAAGTTCTCTGCATTGATCGTCAGCACAAAACATGTTCAGAAAGCTGCGAATTGATAGGGATACAAAAGTACCTGAAAAATACAAGGAGAACTTCAAGCTTTCGCGCGTAAGACCCTTCGTAATGTTCAGCCTTTTCCAATAATTGTTTAATACATTTGTAGGAGTATTGTTCAGTATTGAAGTAACAAGTACATATTTTGCTGTGAGAAACTACTGGCGTGGATTCTTCGCTGCAGTTTGTGGTGCTTTTATGTTCAGTCTTCTGTCAGTCTGGGACAATGATGAAGGTGACTATAGCAAGATTGTGGGCAGTTGATTTAAGTCCTGATCAAACGAGTTTTATGAGAGCTCTTACTCGCATTGCCAACTCTCATCAACTCTCATGCTCTTTCCTCGACTCTTATCAATTTTGATCTGCTTCAAATTTAGATGACAGTTGACTAGAGTTATTGCTGGTACACGCGATAATGTCCAGTCAACTCTCATGCAACTCTTCTTCTCGTTTGATGAATAAGAGTTGATGAAATTTTCGTGCAAACTCTGGCATGCTCACTCTCATGAATATAATCTTGGTCCATGCCAGAGATGCAACTACCTGAAAAATAAAAGGAGAACTTGGACGTTTCAAGCGACGCCTCTGTGGATACCAACCTCTTGACGAGGGGCCTTCGCTCGAAACTCTCATGAACTCTCATCCGCCTTTAATCTGGGTTTTAATACTTAAAGAGTTCATTTGGTGCAACCCCAGAAATAGACAGTTTCGTGATCTATTTGTTCATTGGCTATATCAAGCGAATGGGCGTGCTGTGGGTGCCAGATTGCGTTATTATAGTGAAACTGTTCATATTAACTTGTCTTTCAGAAACAATTACTGCACTCTTTAAAACCAACTTCAGGATAGATTTTCCTTTCGACACTGAAGAGTTCATTGCATTTTCACTCATTGGGTAAGATAAAATGTATTACACTGTAGTCTGTGATAATTTTACAATAGGTACAGTGTAGGTTTCACTTAATACTATTGTAGTGACGATGATAGCTGGAGAAGTTTTGGTATGTCTAATATTTGGGTCATTCTAATTATTCTAAAACGAAAGATATATCTTTATAGTAAAAAATCTCATCTTGATCAACTTTTTCTCACGGTAGTCATTGTTGATCAACTCATCTTGATTAACTTTTTCACAGTCATTGTTGATCAACTTATCGTGATCAACTTCTTCACAGTGAATAGAAAATGGAAGGGTCTCCTAGCAAATAGTCTTCTCTCTTTTTTAAACCAGGGTTATTTGCGGGTTTGGTGGAGCTCTGTTTGTGTATACGCACAGAACAATTGTGGATTTAAGACGGCATCATCGTGATAACATGATATCTCGCTTTCTTGAGAAGAGGTATGATCAAGTTTATGTCATCCCTAAGGAATGACATATATGGACCATTTGCATTATAGACTAATTTTGATCTAAACAAGTCTAGACAAAGTTCATCACAGCTTGAAAGAGCATCACAAAATTAGTAATATTCCAAAGTTTCGTTGCGAAATGTTGTAAAGTGCGGATAATATAGCCTTGCGAAGTTTGCCGTTTTTCAGTCATTTTGCATTACGCGGGGGGAAATTGACAGCCCAATACCCTTTGGGGCTGGCAATTTTCCGTTTGTAATACAAAATGACTGAAAAACGGCAAACTTCCCAAGGCTATTCATTCACGAATGAATTTTATTTCGTTCAGTCGATTCTTGTATCCGGTCATCGTCACTCTACTGGTATCAACAATTATGTTTCCAAAAGGTCCTGGAATGCTCGTGGCTGGTGAGGTAAGCTACCACTGATCTTTGAAATATTCTGGACAGCACAACTCATTCAACAAACATAACCCGACAGTAACTTCAAGCCCCGATATTTACCACTAAAAATCATTACGGACATCTCCAAATAACCGATTCCATTCTAAGAACAAACTGAAAATATGGAAGTAAAAACTACCGAAGTAAAGACTTGCCACAAGTCGACTTCTTTTGTAATTCACAGTGAAAAGGGGAGAAAAGAACGGGAGGGGTCCGAGGGGAACTGAGAAAATCTAAAACTACCTCTATATATCGGACAGTTCGTATAAAAATCTGTGCATAAAGAACAAACTACATACTAATCCTTGGACTGGAATAGAAACTAGTGAACCGAATTATCACATTATAATTACTGGTCACCTGTAGCTGACGCAGAAGCAAGCAATTGAAGAATTATTCTCGAATACCACATGGTCTCTTGCTGAGAGTGAAGATTCAGATGTTCCTAAAGCTACATTGAAACATTGGAACGGGGCATTCGGCAATATTTATGTCACTTTGGTCTTGTTTGTTGTCATCAAGGTAATGTTTTGGTGCAATCAATGTTGCTTTCTGTAAAAGGAGGTGAACGGAAAGGAGATGAGGGCGGAGAAAGAGTGGAGAGAGAGGGGGGAGGGAGGGGGTAAACCGAAATTAAGGAAGGAAGAAAGGAAGCAGAAAGAAAAACTTAAATGTTTGTACGTTTTATGAATTTTAGTTCATCATGACTGCCATTGCCATAACATTGCCAGTTCCTGCAGGAATCTTCTTCCCTGTTTTTGTCGTTGGTAAGTAACCAGCTTGGTTTAGTCTCCTGACACGCAGGCTAGGTTTAGTCTGGTAGTACAGTACATGTCGCCAGTGAGGTATGATACCCAAAATGTCTAGTAGTACATGTGACCAGTGAGGTGTGATACGCAAAATGTCTGGTAGTACATGTCACCAGTGAGGTATGATACCCAAAATGTCTGGTAGTACATGTGACCAGTGAGGTATGATAAATGTCTAGTAGTACATGTGACCAGTGAGGTATGATACGCAAAATGTCTAGTAGTACATGTCACCAGTGAGGTATGATACCCAAAATGTCTGGTAGTACATGTCACCAGTGAGGTATGATAAATGTCTAATAGTACATGTGACCAGTGAGGTATGATACGCAAAATGTCTAGTGGTACATGTCACCAGTGAGGTATGATACCCAAAATGTCTGGTAGTACATGTCACCAGTGAGGTATGATAAATGTCTAGTAGTACATGTCACCACTGAGGTATGGTACCCAAAATCCCGATATTCATACAATATTTAAGCACATAAATCAAATGTTAAAATGTTTGTTCATGTTTAGGTGCTGCATTTGGTCGTCTTGTTGGGGAAGCTATGGCTACATGGTTTCCTGATGGTATCCATGACAACGGGCCTGATGACGTTGTTAGTAAGATATTACCGGGAGGATATGCTGTTGTAGGTAAATAAACACTAAATGAAAAAACAACGTAAGCTGTCGTGGTTTGAGTATGAACTATCTGAAAAAGAGAAGAAAACGTCGATATTTTACACGATGACCTTCTTCGCTTGAAAGATTGAAATTTTAACCAAAACCTTGACAATGTTCAGAAAAGGTGACTGTATATTACACTTGGTTGAAATATTCCAACCGTCCTGTTTCCTTCGTTTTGTTGTAGGTGCCGCAGCGATGTCTGGTGCTGTCACTCACACTATATCAGTCTCTGTCATTGTATTTGAACTCACTGGACAGATTGCGCATATACTACCTGTTATGGTAGGGGATTATTTAATATCGTTCATTCATTTTTACATGCTGCCATTTTGAAATACCTGTTTACATATTCCAGCATTCTTTTGTCCTCTGTTTCAATTTGTACTTGATCAACTTCCAGGTTGCTGTCTTGATTGCAAATGGTATAGCTCAGTGGCTACAACCTTCAATATATGACAGTATCATACAGATTAAGAAACTGCCCTACCTTCCAGAGATTACAAATTCCAGGTACCAAATGAATGTTGATGTATAATGACTGTGGGATTATAAAACTTTGGTGGTAAATGATTTGGGATGATGCTAGTGCGAGTGGGCTGAAAAAATGCTTGACCACGAGGTTAAATCCGTTCAAAAACTATCTATTCACAACGTTTGAATCTGACGTTCAGTTGGTAGAGCATTGGCTTAGTAAACCAAAGGACATCGTTTCGATCCGCAACGCGGTCAAACAAGTTTTCAGCTTACCCACGTGTGGAGCAAGCGAGAATGACCAGTTGTCCTGATAGAGATCAGGGCCAGTTCTTCAAAGCTCTATTGGCGCTATTCTTGGGTTAAAATTTACCCCGCTTTCGTATTTCTGCACGTCGGTTTGGTTTATAACTTTGGAAAATAAAACTTTTATGGATGCAGACGCGATTTGTGGGAAAATATTTTTAAGTTTGTATAAAGTGGGAAATTTGCTTTGCGCTAGGTTTAACGCTAACCCAGGATTAAAATATAACCGGCTGTCGAGCAACCCTAACTACATAGTTTATTCTGTTTTCAGACTTTATAAAGTGACCGTGGCAAACATTATGAAAACAGACTTGCAATTTATAACAAGAAATTCAACATATAGAGAATTGAAGGAATTACTTGCAAAATCGAAACTAACCTCGTTTCCATTGGTTGACAGTAAAGGTAAATATCTGCGCGGGTTGAGCGAATTCAACAAAAGGGAGCAATGCTTTGATCTTTGATACTACCGTGATAAACTCTCGCCAAAACTACAATCCTGGTCAAAACCATCTGCGACACTCTATTAAAACATTCCTCTGTCGATTTATTTTTTTACCTTTAGACTGGAATAATTTACTTGTTTGCCCTCCCCCCTCCCCCCAAACAATGTTGGACGTATTAAAATTGCTCTAACCGTACAACATTGAATGGTGGGGTAAGGGGGGGAGTTCTAAAGTTGCAATAATATTACGAAATTTTGTCAAATAATTGGAAGATGCCTGAGATTACGTAGGCAAAACTTTATTTAAAAGATCACACGTTGGCCCCGTCAACTATACGCTGATTTCCACGAGGGGCGTGTGGATTACATGATATTATATAACAAAATATTACACACACTAAACTACAAATAACTACAAAACAATTATGTACAAAATGAATAACATTATATTAGGAATTATAAACGTCAATTGCATTGATGAATGTTGATAATGTATCTGAATCACGCATATCTGCAGGTAATGAGTTCCACAGTTGAATCTTAATTGATGATCTCATTCTGTTTAGAGTTCATTTGAATCTTAACTGATGATCTGATTCTATTTAGAAACCATGACCTTACTTGGTTCCATACGTCGTCCTCAACTTCAAATGTTGCTCACTCGATATTTAAGTAACGCGAAGCATGGTGGGAGTCAGGCTGAAAGTCAAACAAGTTCCCCTCGGTCAACATCACCCACTCCACTACTGCCTGAGCGCAGGTAAGCTTCAAGTAGTTTTACAATATATACCACGTGAGCGGCCGTATCGTATAAGACACACGTACAAACACAGGCTAAAATACATGGAACTTCGCAAATCTGCAGGATATTGTTTTAGATATTCAAGCTCTTTTACGTGTTTTGCACGTAGATTGTTAATGAGAATTGCCAATCCTTTGTGATGGTTGCCAAACTTGGCTTTTGTTCTGTTGTTAAGGTTGTTTGTTTTATTTTAGAAGGAATGATGATCAAGCATTGTCAGACAGCGAAGTCGAGGTATGTGAAGGGAGAAGGAGGGATGAAAGGAGAGAAGGGTAAGAAGAGATAGATTGGAGGAGGGATGGAAAGAAAGGGAGAGGGAGAGAAGGAGTGAAGGGGGAAGGAGGAAGGGTGGTCGGGAAAGAAAGAAGGTGTGAGGGAAGGTGGAAAGGAAGGTGTGAGGGAAGGGGAGAGGGAAGGTGGAAAGGAAGGTGTGAGGGAAGGGGAGGGGAGAGGGAAGGTGGAAATGAAGGAGGAAGTGAGCGAAGTAAGGTGGAAAGGAAAGAAAAGAGGAACTAAAGGGGAGAAATGAAAGAAATGATTTAGTCATGGAACGTTGGTGAGTAAAGAAGCCTCTTATTAAATCACCGTTTCTTAGTTACAGTCACGTCAGCATGAGTCAACAATGCAACCATCTACCAGCAGAAATTCCCTGCTTGAAAGAATTCCAGGTTTGTGCACGACTTTCACCTGGTTAAGTTTTTTTATGTTCGCTATGAAATGTCAGAAAGGGTAATAATAATGATCAGAGAAATTCAAGGCATAAGAAATATAAGGTAGGAACAGATGTATTATTTTCATCCTGATTTCTGTGTCATTCACTATAACATTGTTTTAGGTTCACAACAACTTCAACGTTTGTTCTCTGGAAGTGCTTCAACTCTAGATTCTGAGGTACCGTATCTTTGTATTTTTCCACCATCTAACAAACGTCAGTTTTTTATTCAAATATTGTTTTAACGCTCTGTGCGGTATGTTTGTGTCATTTTTCCAGGGACGCTCTGCTAGTCCAAGCTCGGAAAGAGAAACTATTTCACCTGAACAGGTTTGCTACCTTTTTCTGTGTTCTCTTTGAATGTACATAGTTTCCTGTATTTGTATGAGATGATAAAAATTGGCTCTCGCTTACCTCACAGTCTTGTATTTCCAGTACTTGCAGTGGGAAAACGAAATTCTAGACAAAGAAGTCGACTACGAGCTATGTCAGATTGATCCAGCTCCATTTCAACTCGTAGAAAGAACATCATTACTCAAGGTAATTCTCGTGAGGTAAATGGTCCAGTAAGGATCATTCTTTATTGTCCAGTGTTTATTGTTCAGTGTTACTACAGGAGGAAACTAGAGTACCCGCGATAACGTGCTATGTTAACATTGAACTGAAAGCATTCGTCTCGGGGATTGAGGCCTTGTTGCAGAGGTGAAGTTGAATTAGATGTTTGATAGACTTGCTTCATGTTTGCCTTTCAAATACATGCCTTAAAATTCCTCTGCCCGCATTTTCGTGCAACTTTTAATACTCCTGAATAAAATCTCTATTGAGACTTGGAGTGAGTCTAGATATTTAATAATATGTGATTGCCATTGTGTTAAGGTGCACAAGCTATTTGCTTTACTGAACCTGTCTCATGCTTATGTCACATCTCTTGGTCGTCTTGTTGGAGTTGTTGCCCTTACTGAGGTAGGCCTGATTACGCTATGATATTAAAGTCTAGCCTGCATTGTTTAGTGATTTGTAGAGATCAGTGAGCTTGTTTCAGTCACTGCATCAGTTTTATTCTTATTTTTACTTAAACATTAATAAATCATGTTATAGATTCGTCAAACTGTCGAAGGACACGAGATACTTTCACATGAAGATGATCGTGGACTTACATAGGCATTTAGGATGTTACGATAAGTGGTGCAATGTCAAGTCTGTTTTTTGATATTTTGTAATTATACCCCAGACATCAATATTAATTGACACACTCATACGAGTCAGCAGAAAAGTGACAGCAAGTCTGTCCACCAATTCATTCAAACTTTGCAAGATATAGGCAACATAATAGTCTTCTATTTTCTGATAATGCATGCTAAAGACTACCTTGGATTCCAGAGCCTTCAGTAAATAATAAATTGAAACGTCGCGAAGGCTCTGGTTCAACGGGGAGATTCTTTGATTAAACCGCGTCAATCACAAAACAGAATTAGTGGTTTTAGTACAGAATCTGTACTAAAACCACTAATTCTGTTTTGTGATTGGCACGGTTTAATCAAAGAATCTTCCCGTTGAACCAGAGCCTTCGCAACGTTTCAATTTATTATTTACTGTCGAAGGTTCTGGAATCCAGGGTAGCTAAAGACAGAAACATAGAATACTGACTCATGAAACTTCACTTTTATTAATGATTGCTGAAATACTAAAAGAAATTTCATACCAACCATATTGTAGACTACTTGCTGTTTTAGCTAGCTTCCAAGCAGATCTGCATAAACCATGATTATTTTGAATGAAAATGATAGCATTTGTAAATAAACTGTAATTTATTCCAAATTGAGTTGATGACAAATACAAATACACAAGGATTGATACAATCAAACCCCAAGATACATTAGAAAAGTAGTTTTGTATGTAACAATAAATTAAAATTAGAAATATAATGTTTGGGAGAATAGTGACTACCTGACATTATTTCATAAAACTATGAAGTTTGTACAATTGAATACTTTTATTCAAACCAAAATAAACTATTGTAGTTTTATGGTATGTACACAACGTAGTATTGAGTTTATTATACAAAGTATGGTGGCTTCTTCACGTTAATTCCAGATTCTGCCAGGGCTGGTGTCAAGTCTTCCATTGTCAAGGTATAGTGCTTATCCTGAAATGAGAATAAATTATGGATTTTTTGGCAATATTAAAAGCAGGAGGCGTACTTCATGAAAGGTATGTAATCAGGAAACCACTGCTGGGGAACAAACACCACTCACTTTGCCAGATTTCCTGGAACTCTGTACAGATCCTCGCATCTTGCAGTGTTGTAAAGCGTCATTTGCAATGTCAGAAACAAATTTCTGTGCAGCAAGGGAGATCAGTCTCACCCTAAGAAAAATATGGTAAATGGTTAATATATACCATATTGTAGTTTATTAATTAATATTATTATAAGGTGAGTCAAAGGCAAGCTATAGTAAATCAGGTACAGACTGGATGTGAATGCTTTACATTACTTAAATACGATTATAAGTGAGGCCCACCAAGGGCTTATGACTGACAGGCGACATTCCTTAAAAAGAGCGACAGACTATCTAAAAAAGAGCGACAAACGACAGCTTCTGACTGGGAAAAAGCGACAAATTGCGATTTGTGTTATGGGTCAAAGGCTACAGCAACATTTATTGCAATAAAACAAGCTACAAAATGAGTGACTGGTAATGAGTATTTTAAATATTGTCACACTTGAGTGTATATAATGTATTGCTATACTTACAATCTCGGATCAGTCGTTTCGAATCCAGATCTATTTAAATAGTAGGATGTCACTGCATCGGGAATCTAAGATTCGAATATATCAATATAATGAAACTTTAAAAAGCATACTGACTTATAGTTGAAATTTCATTCTTTAGAGGTGTTTTATACAGTTATATACAATCCATTGTCTTTGAATATAAAAGAATACTAAAATGAAATATTCCAATCGTAAATATACCGTAGGTGTGTAATCATCTAAATGCAGTAAAAAATCAGCGAGAGATGAGCCTCCTGCTTTCTGTTTAACATCGCTTTCTTTTACAGCTGAAGTAGTTGCTTTAGTGCTGCTAGCTGTAACTTTTGCTGCCATATTTGTTTGTATTTGACCGACTTTTGATGTCGACGCGCTTGAATTGTCGGCCATCTTGCATTGTGGTGGAGAAAAACTTTATGTAAGATGAATATTGTGGTCGTGTAGGAGCGTAGAGGAAAGAGCCTGGGAACGAGGTTGCTTTTGCCCTACTTAATAACACCAATTAGCAAAATTAGCACTAATTAATTTTGTCCATCGAATATTGACAATACCATCAGGATGCGCATTAGGTGCAATATTAAATAATGTTTGCGTTGTTTTGACATACTGCGTGTTTTCTAGGCAACAATGACATGACCAAAGCAACATCACTAAGAATTATCATAGAATTATCAAAATGCTCAGTTTAATTAAAACCTCAGTCTAACAGCTTGCAAACCGAATGTTAACTAGTTTCAATATGTTTGAATAACTCTGAGTGGTTTGTTACAATAAAAGCTACATTTGCTAATATTTGTTAATCGGAAACATTTTGTATAAAAAGATATGAGCACTTTCCCGCAATTTCCTGCATGTACATTTTCAATTTCCTGCCCGTGGTGTGGTTCTTTTACACTCTATTTATATTTGATGGTGATATATTGCTTTCCACATTTTAGAACACGCAAAGTGACGAAAGTCAGTTCTCAGCTTGGGTGTTTGAAACTGTGGTCTGTGTTGAGAATCTTTGGTAAGTGATATTAAGTTTTATGGAGAGTGTGAAGAAGAATTGTTTTGGTTTGTAAAAAATCACGTTGAGGGTTGTCCATAATTACCAACATTTTCACAAGTCTACGGGATGGAGGACCTCTTATTTACTTTTAGCAAACTTTGTAGTCCCGTTTGAATTGAAAACTATTCTTACATATTATTTACATTGAGGACGATCCCTGAATACTTTTTTGCCAAGCAAAAAAAACGACGTGTTTTGAACATAACAAAACAAAAAGTCCACTGGTTTACACTCCTTTGATCATGGTAACCTCGTTTAATGGGTAGGGATAAAATGTGGATGTTTCATGTCAACATTCCATCCATCCATCCAGTTGCCACCCGTGTATGTCGAGGTCTTTGTCACACTTTGATCAAACACAAATTAAACATAGTCGGAAGATCTTGTAGATGGAAATTATCGCGTGGAAATTTATATACATTTATTACACCCAACCCTGACCTAACCAGGAACAGCTGCGAAGAAATGCAACTATAGTATAGGTCCCAGTGGCAGGTTAAGACGTAAATACGGCCAGGGAACGGTTGTAGTTATTGTTGCATTTTTCACAGCTGTTCCTAGGTCTAATAAATATATATAAATTTCCACGCGGTAATTTACATTACAATACCCTTCAACTATTATTCAATCGAGTCACATGGCAACAAAATCTTGACAAATTAAACACCAGGTGTGTCAACCACTCGTGTTTTCAACCACCGATCTGCACTGAAACAACTTGAAAAAAGGCTTTTAGATATTCAGTTGCTCTTAGCCTTAGATTGCTTTTTAAAAGAAGATAGATCGGGACTCGAGGAATGTTGATTGAATGTTAAGTTTAGTTTCTTTACAATAATAATATAATAATGATTTGTAACAGCATTTCCACCAAAAGTGGCTCTTCATCTGTAAAATACTAACTGATCCTCATCGTATTAAAAACTACTTATTTACAAGCAAGTATAACATTTAGTAACATCTAGATATCATGGTTTATTGCTAATGGTTCAAATTTCTTTGCCAAAGAAGTTGTGTCTGCATAATTCGTTTCTAATATTAAACTTATTGATATGTTAATTTGAAGGAAATGGTCAATTGACTGTCAATATGTCATCTGCATTTCAAAGGTTAATACACATGCTCTCTCATCTGTTCAATCTTTATTTTTGGAAAGCATTCTTCGTAACCAAGAAAAAATATATAATAAGCATTTTACAAGAGAGAACTTCCCCTCGAAAAACCGAGGGTAAATCATTGTGGTGTTCGACAAAGTAAAACACTAGATTTTCTTCTTTAAAACACTCTATATAGTCAGTATTTCAGTCGCTCATTCGGCTTTCAGATGCAAATCAGTGTCAGCCCCCCCCAAGAATAATTAAAGTTGGGCAAATTATAAACGTAAGTTGCGCATAAAGATGGGAGAAATAAATTTGAAGCAAGTAATATTGATAATATTAGATAATTGGTCGAAAATGAAATATGGAATGTGGCGAAAAATTTCACCCCCTCGAAGATTTTTCCAACCCCCGTGCGAGGGGCCCCGTCGGGAAGAATTTTAGGAATATTACACGGAAAATTCTTTTGATAAGTCGGGCAAATTTCGTTTTGTCGTCCTAATTTTTTTACAACTTCATACCAGATACCTTCTAGCGCAATTTCAATTCCTTCGAATTTCATATTCTTTAAAAGCCTCTGCGAAGGAGAGAGCACTCAATGAGTGGAGGTTCAATCTGAGCTTCTCTCGAGTGTCAGTGCTATTTTTGAATAGCTGGAGGGTTGGTCTCGTTCCTTATATGACCACACATCCTCCAGCTATTCAAAAACAGCACTGATGCTCAAGGAAAGCTCACTCAGATGGAACCTCCACTCTTTGAGTGTGCTTTTAGAATACGGGCGTAAGTGAATTTGGAATGGACTGGAACAGTCTGTGCCAGCGTGGGCCGTGACAAAAACATCAGAAAATGCGAATTTAGAGGGATTGAACTACCTGAAAAATATAACTTCCCAACGCAGGGCCTTCGCTCAAAACCGGTTGAAGTCTTACTTGTATTGTTGAGGTTGTTCAATCCTTTTACAATCCGCAGTTTTCTGGAATTTGAAATGGTGATTTACACGATTTCGTTCATCGCATGCGACGCCTGACAGCGGACGAAATGGAGCGCAACTAACCGTATGATTGTTCCATTGCGAATAAATGGAACTGGCGAATTCGTGTATGTTCTAGTTGTGTTCGTATTCTAGTTGTGTCTTGTCGACATATATATAAACACTATCTCCTTCACTGGTGATTAACAAGACATAATTACCTGCATTATTCATAGTATTTATCTTAATTTGTTTATATTAAGCCTGCGTGAATAATTGCAGTCGTGCAACTTTGAGAAGCATTCGATAGTCACGACGGGTTGTTTGGAGAATACTGAATCAAACGAAGACTCTCAAAAGAACAATGTGGCGCTTTCTTCTCCTCGCTATTCATTTCACTCTCGTCAACTGCTATCAAAACAACATATTTACAGGTATTTGAGAAACTATTTTATGTAGAAATGAGCAGATTACTTAGGTAGTCTAGTGATGTTAATGTAACTTTTGACTGTATGACTATATACACTATCAAACACATGATCTTAAATTGGTCATTATATTTTAAGTACTTCAAGTGTATAATATGTGATGGGAAGAAGCTCTGAGTGTGTAGTGCTGTTTCTTGTGGTGTTTCTGCTGGTGTTTTTGCTGGTGAATAAGTGGTAATCATTTTTCATTCTGTGAAAGATAAGCTTTGACAAGTGTTCATAAGCATGATTATACATCATGAACATCCATTCTTTCGGTTTAAAGTTTTCTTCACTGACTTTAAAGATTTTAGCGTGCAGGAAAGGAAACGCCGTTGTTGACCGTCCACACAAAAAATAATTAAAGATAGTTGAGCATGCAGTTCTATGCGGCAATCTTTATAGCAGAATAAAATATAACCAAACATTCACATATTACACATCGTAAACAGTGTTTTTTTTTACATTTAGTTAACCTATTTCACTTAACTGCTGTGGTTTTATATTTCTAAGTTATCCAGCCATTACAGCTTCATATAAATGCTTAAATATAGAAATAGTGAATTTCAGTTATAATTTACAGCAGCCACAGGCTATACATCCTATTTTGAGACAGCGAGAGCAGTAGAGCACGCTCTTGCCCCAAAGACAGATAGTAAACACAGAGATTTGTTGACTTAGCATTCAGTTTGATCATTGAAGTGTTTCCAAATGTCAGTCTTTCTTTATCTAAACATTCGTCTTACGCTGTGTATAACATTAACGTTCAGTTTGAGCAAAGTTGAGTTTGATAAACTATTTTTCAGAGCCAGATCTCATTTAAACACGTTCATTATAAAGCTTTTTGAGTTTAGTGTACAAGAATTTACTTGTAGAAAGATGATGTCCCATTATTACTGATGTTACTAATATTAAATTAAATCTAAAAACTGCGATATATATGCAACCAACATTTTTTTATGGATTGTGCATGGCTAGGATACTGTTATAGAATTTCTGAACAAGATCTTGAACTATAAGAATAACTAAAACGAGTGAGACATTCTAGGTAGTAAGTAAGTGGGGTATGCTAACCATCCTCACTTGTAGCTGAGCTGAATTACGACACAGCTCAACTTGATGGAGTCGAAGGCTTACAATAAGGCTGCCTCTGCTGCCACTGTATGACTTATGTCTGATGACAGAACATAGCTACGATGGAAGGGTTAGTTTGGTATTTATCCCTCCCTTTCCTGTGGGAGAGGAAACATGTGATTAGCTTCTCACACAAGTGTCCTTTGCGAGGATGCAATACATGATATGAGAATTGAAAAAGCCCGGTAACAATTAGTTGAAGGTTTTATAGTTCTGAATTCAAGGGCGTATTTTTCAACAAATGTTTCGGCATGTTTCATGTTTTTTTATGACTCCCATAATGTTTGTGTATTAACAGCCCTAGAAGCAATTAGAAGTTTAACGCTTTCTTTCATATGGAGTTAACGAGTAATCCTATTGTTGTCTTAAGCTTTTTTCTTTATCTAATATTCTTACACCTTTGGAAAGGTTTTGTTTTAAAAAGTGTTTAGTTTGCTCATGGTAATTGATATGGGTATTGCTGAAAACTGCATCATAAGCTTTATAGTCAAAAGAAAAATCGGGTAAAACTGTCAGGCTTGTCTATCTCAAAAGACAGAGTTATTTCATTTAAGCGTGTTACAATGCGATGTGTATAGGCGTAGTATATTGGTACCTTTCATGGCTATGATTCTTGCAATATGAAGTTGTTTGTGTCAGTGGCATGAGAGGGCAACAACTCAGAACTATCCCCAGGTCGTCTCCTCCAGCTTCTTCACTGCTTGACGGTAAAATAGAAATATATAAAAATACACACAGACAAACATAACCGAGGTCAGCAAAAACACAATATATATAGAACGTACAATTAAAGTATATATAACAGAATTTTACAAATTTTGAAACGTTTGTCCAGAAATGACATTAAAATGACATACTACTTTCAACTGATGCTTAATCGTCAAAACATTCATATAGCTTCTCTTATTGCCGTATATTGTCCAACAAATTCCACTCGTATCACGTTTATCGCGCTGTCCAGTGACACCAGCTTTTTACTGATACTTAAATCAAATCTCGTTCTATCAATATAACATTCTCTCATTAAATTTCAGAAATTATTTAATTTCAAAAATTTTATAATAAAATATAGAAAAATAACGAGACTGGATTGACTTGTTCTCATAATGAGAGGCAAATAAATTTACCTCAGTTGTATCAGGGGGTGTGATATAGCTAGAGGTTTATAGAATATATAAAAATGCAGTATATACAATGCAGTTTTTGGTTATGTTTTTACTGTGGCTTTAAAGTATGCCGGTTTTCGGTGTACCTTATAAGCCACGGTTTTAATTAAACACCTGTTTGATAAATATACAGACTACAGTATGTCACAAACTGAAGACTTCCACTACTGGATAAACGATCGTAAACGTATCTCAACAAAAATAATTACTGCGATGAACAACGCAATAGCAATCATCGGCATTTGCCATTTGGGTGCCAAAAAGGAGGTTATTCCAAACGGTGCACTTTCCAAAATACTTTCACCAGGCATGGAAATATAAAGCTTGTCTAACTTTTTCAGCTCACTTGCATCCAAGTCAACATCCATAACTTGACGATGGATTTCATGGATGATTCTCTTCGAGTAACTCAAACAGTTGTTTGCTGCTGTATCGTACCAATCCTGTGCGGCCATAAGATACGCCCACTCTATATCATAATCACTAATTCCAATGACCTCATAACATTTAAACATTCGATAGACGCCACTCATAAACACATCGCCTGTCATGCCTATCTTATATTCTTGCCCATCTGTTGTTGAAAGATCAATCCTCCGAACTTTTATCGGATTGATGACTTGAAATGAATTATGGGAAAAGAAGACACGGAGACCCAAGCTCATATTTGCCAGCTTACGACTCTCCTCCACGTCTGCATTGCTTCGATTTAAGAGATCAGTTTGCAAGAACACAACAGAAGCATGATTATTGTGGACATTGACATAAACAGAAAACGGTACTTTTACGGCAGAAAAAGCGGAAAGTTGATCAAGTTCTTGCCTTGCTTCTTCAAAAGTCTTTCTACCTTTCTTATAATCTTCAAACAATAACGCGATTACTTTACTTACGGTTGCTACGCTTACGTATTGATTCGATTTATTTATTGAGTTCGGTTCTTGACGTTGTATTCTTACAGCCAAAGTGCGATTTCGTTCATTCATTCTAGTTGTGCAGGTCCAACCAACCAACTTTGTATTCCCTCTTAATAATTTTCACTAAAATAGAAACGTAAACGACATTACTGCTTTCTTTCGAGTCATCAATAACCCATGAATTTCTTATTTTGTATTCTAAGCCGCGCAGCGGGTGTTCATTTCAGACTTTCCATGACAATAGACGCAAACCTTCCTCTGCAAGCGAGTTTCTATTACGTGATAGACAAACAACATTCCGCCGTCTTGCGTGAGCTTCGAATCCTTAAAGTCAATCGTGATTGAATGATTGAAAAATGAAGATTTAGCCTGCACTACATGTGAGCACTATTTAGAAACATAGTACTTTGTGTGGCTAATATGTACATATATGTCGCTAAAGCTACTTTAAATTACACGTAGTTAATTATGAAATACGATAGGAACACAATAAAGTGTGTTCATCATAAAACCGAAAATATAGCAACGTTGGCAAAAAGCTCTTGATTCTCACCTGTGAAATGTACTATCAATTGAGGATGACACAGAGCCTTCGAACGATTCTCCTACCATTACTAGTCTATGGAATTCGTAAACTACTCGAATACTGCCATACTGTTGTAGTGAACGTCTCACACACGTAACCTTGTTGTATTACAGGTGAACGTTAATTTTGACCTTATCTGGAACATATAGGCGCAAACTAATAGTTGGGAAACTAATTCACTGGAAATTGACTTTTTCCAAGAACGAGCTATTAAACGCTATCCTATTAGAAATATGAGCAAAACAGCCCCCCCTCCCCGCGTAACAAGAACGTTTGTGAAGAGGCAGTTGAGCGCGTTATATTACTGTGCAGGTGCCTTTTATGAGAGAAGAGTCTGACCAGTTATGCCCTACGTGGTATATACTTGTATTTTTCCTCAGGCAGTTGATTCCCTTTCCATCCTCAGCTTAATACCAATAAGACACTCCAAGAGGACAATTTTGATTTGCAAGAGCCAGAATACATAATGAATGACCTCAGTCAATAAATACGATTAAATAATAAGAGGTTATTTACACGCTATCTATTTCTACTTTCAGCTGTACCAAATGCTTTCTTTAAAGACTGTCTGTTGGAAATTAACAAATATCGTAAACTACACGGCGCATTCGCTCTGCGGTGGAGCGATGACTTGCAGTATCACGCACAAACACGGGCGGACAAATTAGCTTCGGATCAATTCCTTCAGAATGATATCGAGGTTGGGGACAGACTCGGCCAAGGTGAAACCGTCTCGTATTTATCTCCTTCCAAGGAAATGTGTCGTACGTTCCCCCCGTCTGGCGATTGCTATGCATGTCGGGACACTATAGCAACTTGGTACAATGAATCCAAGCATTATAACTACATCACTGGTTACTCTGTGGATGGGACCAAACAAGTCTTACATTTTACTCAAGTAAGTTGACTATGCTGGGAATGTTCATTGTGAAGCCTGGTTGACACTATCAAAGTTTCTGTGATCACAGTAGGGATTTTGCATCGCTAAATTCTAAGTTTTAATGGATTTGTTAGCCCGCGTGCAGGCCCCTGCACGCGGGCTATGGGTTTGTAAGAAATGTTTGAGAAAACTGACTCACTGTTTAACACTGAGTCAGTTTCCTCAAATATTTCTTACAAATCCTTCAACATTCCTACTGTGATCACCGGCTTCGGGAGTGTACTGTCTAGCCCTAGGTTCGAGTTTGTACAGTCCAACATCATTCTCGTACCCAGAGCCCATTTTGCATGCGTCCGTTGACCGCGCTTTTAAAAGAAGGTTTCTGGCTACGATAATGAGTAGAACCTCTATTAAGTAATCACGTGTAAAAGAGCTGTTTAATAGGAGTTATGATAACTATGTTTTACTAGGGTCATCGAATTGTTTGTTTTTTCAGTTGGTTTGGAAAGACAGTGTCAAGGTTGGCCTGGCCACCGCGCTAAGTCCTCGATATGGCGTCATCACTGTAGCTCGCTATCATCCACGTGGAAATATTGGCTTCCTTGATGATTACATCAGAAATGTCGCTCCAAGAGGTAAGAGGACGGTGTGATGTAGAAACGTTATGACGTCAACCTCATACCCAGGGCTTCTGTGCATGTAGCGCAACAAGCGCATAAGCCCTGGGTACGAGGTTGCTTATGTTGCTTATTATTTTAAATTATTTCCATGTTCACAGGTAGTAATGATGGATTTGATGGGAATGATGGTGATAGAGGCCAAGGAGGTCCCTCGTGTCGAAAAAGAAAAGCAATAATTCCAACTTATAAAGGTGGCAGAGATTTTTGTTCTGAGTTCAGCTTTAGTAGACATTGTTTTGGAAATTCCGTTCGTATACTATCCATCGGAAATATTGTTGGAGAAACATATTTTGCTTCCAAGGAAATATTTTCCAACAAATTTAGCAACATTTTGTTCCCTGAGTGTAATTTTTGTTGTACAAACAATTTGCAAAAAATCGTAAGCTTTTTACACAACAGAAACAAATAATCGTTTTGTTTTTTAGATTGTGTTAACGAGTATGGAGACGATCTTTGCGATTTTTATGCTCAATTACCTGATTATTGTGAATATAACGCTGCCTTTATGAAGGTCAGCTGTGCGAAAAGCTGCGGAGTTTGTGAAAGTAAGTATTGCTTGAACGTTTTGAAATGAGATATTTGCATCAAATTATTTCTTCATTTCGTAATTTAATTATTTTCTTTTTGATTTTTCAGAACGATTTCCTGCTCCTCCAGTGATAGAAAGCGAAGGTAGAAAACAGTTCCAACTCCAGTTTATCTTTTAGAAAAGCTCCACTGTATTTGGAGGATGAGTTTTTACCTCATTAATTACCCAGTGTTCTCGAGAGCTGACTGACCAAGGTCGTTTGCAAAACCACTCTCGCATGGTTATTGATGAGAATTTAAGCTTCGTCTTCACTACGACACAAGCATAAACTTAAGCATAAGAATATCAAAACGTTGCGTTCCTTTCCATTCCATTCCATTCCTTTCCTTTCCTTTCCTTTCCTTTCCTTATGCTTATGTTGTTGCTTATGCTTGCGCTTCATCTTGCATTGTAGTGAGGACACAATATAAACACAAGCATAATAACATCACAGCGTTCCGCTTGCTTGTCCAGGTTATACCTTGCGATGCCGTGACACAAAGATTATTAGATTAATTGTGTTTGATATTTCGAAACTTGCGATAAATTGCGTCCTCTCATGCCTATTATTTCAGCCAAGAGCTCTCCTGTACAGCAGGCTTGATGTGTGCTTCACACTCATGATTTCTGAATTATTTTCATCCTTTACGCTATTTTTTTGTAGGTGAAAGAAAGCTTGAGTTACATTGGCAAATCGGCAAGTGGTTTAAGGTACAAGATCCTTCATATTCGCTTGTGAGGATTGTTGTATCCACGTGAGGATTGTTGTATTCATTTTGTATTTTTTAACTCTAGTGTCACGGAGGTTTTCAGAGGCGTTCAGTGAAATGTTTCCACAAGCACAATAGTCATGACTACCTTGTTCGAAATAAGTTCTGCAGACGTGAGCTGGGAGACGAACCCACAAAGTACAAAGATTGCCCGTTAGGTGTTTGACTAAACATCATCAAATTTATTTGATTAAAATGTGTGATAGTATTAACCTCTTTGAATTATTTATCAAAGATAATTACTCAAGGCGCAAGTTGTCTTTCTAGTCAAAATTTGATTCTAATTCACTTTAACTCGTGTTTATTGTAAAGATTTTTTACTAACGATTAAACGATAATCGATATACTATCAGTAATAGCCCGATAATCGGCAAGTTAAAACTTGTGTGAACGTTACGGGACAATAATTACTTACATTTATTGTAACTGTTGTTCTATAAATGCGCAGATTAAACTATTAAAATATTTTTTAAACAGATTGTTTACTCTGGTTTGTGCTTATCCGTTTATCGAATTTCATCATTCTATTTATCATATTTTGTACCACCCCAGGGATCGCGGAGGTGGTGGTGGTGGTGGTGGTTTGGGGGGGGGGACATACCGAGTAAACGACAAAAAGGTAATTGATATGTAAGATGAAAATAATCTGACGACAATTAGCTAGCGGCCTGGCTTTGTTCATAACGATCGTGTCCCCACCCCCCTCCCCCACTTCCAAACACACCCCGTGGTCATTGCATCTACTTTGTAAACCTTACTAGTAAAAACTAGAGATGCCTGCGGAAGAGGCTATAGTAAAAACTTCGTCGGTCGTCAAAAACCGATATAAACGTACCTCGATAGCCTCCGGATCAATCCGTCGGAAAGCCGAAGCTGTACGATGTAAGTCGACAACGGTGATCGACAATTCAACGGATGGAAAATAGCAGTAAAAACAAAATGGCGGTTGAAATGGAAAATGTGTTTTCAATATTCAGAGGACCAAATGGGACTATTTTTGCGATCATTTTTGCAACTTTAATAGTTCTCTTAACTATAGGTATGTATTTTAAATTTATGGATTCCTGCAATCTATTACCAAAAAAAATCCTGTGAAATTTGTACAAAAAATCTATTGAAAGTTGAAAACTAATAATGAGTCATCATTTATAAAGTATTTTGATTGTTGTAATGGATAAATTGTTGTACTTAGAAAAAATATCCTTAATTTAAAGTTTGTAAAACAAGGATATATGTGTTTATAAAAATAAAATAATACATGTTTTTAATAAATATATTAAGTAAAATATTTTATATTTGTTTTGAAGTGGCTATATGCCTGTCTTAGGCTGTCTAGAATAAAATTTTGATTTTTATAAAATGAACCAGAACTGACCCTGACCTAGAGAGTTAATATAATAGTCTGAAAAAAAGTGCTTGAACAGGGTTTCAATCATCAACATCCAAAGCTTGAAATATAACTGAATAACTGATCAATGATCAGGGTTTTATCACTTTCAGGATGATATCATAAGTGTCCCTTGTTTGCTGTACTCACTTGCAACATGATATGATTGATACCGTCCCTCGAGCGATAACACTGATCAATATCACTTTGCCTCTCATATAATAACCTATATATATGTATGAAGGAAGACACTTTTGTATATTTATTAAAAATATGTTTGTCCAGTTCTAGCATGGGTGATTGGGAGAAGTCGAAACAAACGTAATACTGTGTTGCTTGTTGGATTGTCTGATGCTGGAAAAACACTACTTTTTACCAGGGTAAGTAAAATCCTTACGCTCTACCAGTGTGGAAAGTTTGCAACCGAGGTATAGCATACAATTTTCAGAATATTGCACCTACAATTTTGAACTGTTGGGGTTTGTAAAGGGTCCTGTAGCCATATTTAGTCTAGTATACATCAATGACACTGTTAACCCATTATTGTGTTGCATTGTGCCACAATGTACCCAACTTTCTTATTTTACCCCCAATGGGTTAATAACAAATTGATTATGTAAAACATGTCCAATGCATTTACTATAAATACCTTGACTTTTTAATGTCTGCTTGAGAAACTAATTTCCCTCACTCAATCTCTAAGTATCTGATATTAGAATAACGAATGTTTGTCATATTGTAGCTTTACTATAACAAGTTTCTTGCCACTCATACTTCCATTAAAGAAAACAAAGGAAGCTACGTACCTGAACAGGTTTGTAACAAAATTTGTCATAGTAAAGTAAAGTTGATATTTTGTGTGGTCTAACATTTTTCAAACATCTGCAGGCACAAGATGGAAAATTCTTGGAATTAATTGATGTTCCAGGAAATGAGAAGCTAAGAGGAAAGTTTATTGGTCAGTTTAAAGACCTTGCTAGGTATTGAACCATTTATTTTGTTTATTGTCAGAACCACAGCAGGAAATAATGGTGGAGAAACTATGGCATTGCATAATGCTATCAGGCCCAGAAAATAGTTTATTACAAAGGCTATTAGTGAGCTCGGCAGAAAACTTTGACCACAAAACTTAGGATGCCAGAATTCAGAAACAAAAATATTATTTCCTGCTGAGAACTAACCTGTTGATTCATGAATATTTTAGGGGAATAATTTTTGTGGTGGATAGTGTAAATTTTACACGAGAACTTCATGCAGTTGCTGAGTAAGTGAAATTTCTTACAAAACATATCTAATCATGCAGATTTTGAAATTTGTACGAAGTAGGAGAGTGGCAAATCAGTAATCACTCCAGGTTTAAGTAAAGAGAGTGATGATAGACTGTGATTATGCATCAAATTCTGTAAACTGAAGCAGGAAAATGACGTTCCAGAAAGATGAAAATGTCCAGTTTATTGTAATAAATATTTCTTGTGGGAAAATAAAAACTGAAAAAGAAATATTTGTTTGGCCACATCCAACAGAACCCTAATGAATTGGAGAAATCTTATTGTAAAATTTTCTAAGTGAGAATTGTCTAAAATGGGATCCCTAGAGATATTGCATATTGTAATTATTGAAATGGTTAATAAAATTAAAATATCCTAAATATTCTATTCTTTTTTAGATGTTTATTTGACATTCTGAGCAACAAGACATTTAATAAGCTCTCACCACAACTACTTATTGCCTGCAATAAACAAGGTAGCCTCAAGTTATTCTTTATCACGGTCATTTGGTCGAAAACTGTCCGACCTTTTTTCCATCAATAACATCATAAATTGAAATCTTGCTATTGAACTTGCAGACCTCACGACAGCAAAATCCATGAATGTTATCAAGTCACAACTAGCTAAAGAAATGTAAGTTCTCTTCATTCAATATCTTGTGCTTTACATTCTCATGAGGGAGAAAATGTTTCTTTAATTTTTCATGTATTAACCAAAAACCATTAACTAGCTTGCCAACTCAGAAAATTATAGAACGTACTGTGCGCTATATATCAGAGCTCCCAAATGGTGTTTTTAGAAATTTACTTTTGAAAAAGAAATGCACTGCTTCCAGCAACGTAATCTTCGGAAATAAAATTTTGCGTGCGCGATAAATATTGTGCCGAAATTAACGTGTGCACGAGCTGCCCCCAGATTAGCATGGTATTAGTTTGATGTGTTCATTTTCTCAGCAATACGTTACGCAAGACTCGGGCTGCTGCTGTCAAAGGTTTAGATGAACAGTCCATGAGTCGTGACGAAGTTTTTGTTGGCCAGAAAGGAAAGGATTTTGATTTTGCTGATTTACGTGCGATCAAAGTTGAAATTATTGAATGTAGTGCAAAGGGGGAAGCTGAGACTGATTTGAAAGATGTTCACGAGTGGTTAAATAAACTCATCTGAAACTGTTGTCTAAAAGAACTCGCTTGAGAATACGCTTGAGAAGTTTATTTGCTTTCTGGTCAGGGGACGGTTGTTCAAAGCTGACCCTGGGTTAAAATTTAACATCCTGTTTTGGTTTGTTCACTTCTATCATAGTTAATAGAACAGATGGTTTCGAAACTCATTAGAATAACAATATAACTCATTATCTATGTTAGTCATAGCCTGTGTAGTGGACTGGGACACAGGCTATGTTAGTCAACGTTTATTCATAAATATGGTCCTTCACCGTCACGTGTGTATTGTATTTTTGCCGAATCCACCAATAGCAATTTCCAATTTACCCTATTGTTCGAGTCACAGATAGGTAACTTTCCTAAAACATTGCTGTTGGTTAGTTGGGCAAAAATACAATACGCACGTGACGGTGAACGACCAAATTTATGAATAAACGTTGACTAACATAGATAATGAGTTATATTGTTATTGTAATGAGTTTCCAAACCATCTATTCTATTAATTGTTATTCTAATGAGTTTCCAAACCATCTATTCTATTAATTATGCTTCTATTTATTTCAAAACTGAAAAATAAATCTTGTATTGATCAAGACATGATTTCTGGAAAACTATTTCCATGTTTAAAAACAAGCTGTTGGAAATATTTCTTTGACGTTTTTTGAGGATGAAGCTAACCTAGGCATTCGAACAACCGCTCCTTGTTGAAAGATAAAAAGACAAAGTGTAACTGTACGTTCTTGGTTTGATCGTGAAGGACTTTGATCAGTTTTCCAAGAAATTATTCAGTTTGTTAACTGTCATCTTTATTGAATATGCTCAGGAAAAGTACATCAAATGCGAGTGTTTGAAATAATTCGTAAACACAAGCAACTCTTTGTTGAATAAGTGCCTAACATTAAAAATATTTTTAAAATCCTAGCTTCAATATTGGTACCCATGCTGTATATTTAGTAGTCTTCCTTATCGTAACGTTGAAACGTTCGCAAAGAGACTGGTGTCTAACATGGCACTATCTCGTTAGCTTTTCCTAATAACTGCAAACACACGTCATTGCTTGTAGGTTCGTAAATGCCATCATTCAGAAGCAGGATACATTTAGGGATGCATTCTTGTAAGCCATTATGACACTAAAAATAGAAATACTCAGGATCATTGATCTCAAAGATATACTGCACAGCGCAACCCGTTGTTCTCTAGCTAAAAACGTTCGGAAATATGAAACAAAACATACTCCGTGCAAACGTATTGAAATGAAATTAAAATATCACCCTAAGTACTTCGTGTAGTTGATAACTCAGGGCTTCAAATCTTCAATGTACAAAATACTCCGAGAATGTTTTGTTTTGGTCATGAATATGGAGCTCAGAGTTTTCTTGACTATTTCTAGAACTGTAGTTTCCATACCTCGCTACAAAATGAAGTTATCCATTTAACATCTAGAAAATAAAATAAGTAGGTGAAATATGACAAGTGAAAGATATATTGTTACACAAAGCATAACTACCTTTCTTGCTTGGGGGAGCGGGAAATTCTTCATCTACATAAAGAAAGCATGAAAGATGTTTTTAAAATGCTCCCATAATGCTTTGAATGGTGGAAAAGTGAAAGGGGAAGAGCAAACAGTGATTAGTTCATGATTATGTATTTTCCTTCAGCGAGGAAACTTTTATTTCTGTCGTATACAGTTTAATTTTCTAGTTGTCTAAGTATATATAAAATTAGTTAAGTTAAGGTTTACTTCTATAGTAAGACTACAACAACAAGAAATGGCTCTTACTGGTAGAGAGAAGAGTTTAGAACTTTATCCAGTCTACTTGAAGTTAGGAATACAAACTACCTGACACTCGATGTTGGTGAATGACTGGAGGATGAGGAAACGCTTCGCTTGATACACTCGTTCCTGAAGAAATTTAATAATGTAGAATATTTACCCACATGAAAGAGATCATCATTCTAGCATTTCTTCGGCAGTTGCATGCGCAACGGAAGCCTAATACAATCATTACAATGGCGACTCATATGAGTACTTGGTCGTTGCATATCAGAGTGTGGAACTTTTTCCACCTGACACCGTCAATGCAGGAACACTAACTGTAATTAAAGCCTATATATATTTCTATAATCCCATACCACAGAATCCACACGAGAAAGGACAGTATATCTTCATAAATTCTTTGTTGTAGTCACAGTATTCGTCATATGTTTTGGCGTAAAATGTGCAGTTTTCTCTCAAGTCGATACATCCATTGTTTAAATGAATCTCATATTCTATAAAAGATTTTTCTTAGAATTATTTGAACGAACAGTAGAGTAGCCATGGTTTGCTGTTGCATGTAAGCTACTGTAACCATACTCAGCAGTGAGTTCTGTACAACATGAGATGACTTTATGGTAGCTCACATTCAAGAACATGTACTACCTGTGTATGATCTAACCATACTTAACTCAGCATTGCAGTTCTGTACAACATCAGGTCACATTAGGGTAGCTCACATTCAAGAACATGTACTACTTCTGCATGATCTAACCATGTTTAACTCAGCAGTGTAAAACAGGATCTCTGGACGGTATTTGACATCTGTCCATATATATCCCTACCTTCCCCTCCAGGTCCAAACGGAGTTGGCTTTGGTCGAAATAGATCGTCGACGTTTATTTCTGGTTCACCTTGAATTGCATAAAGAAATAAAATAAATGTCTATCTTTGCACCTCCATTTGTTGTTTTGTACTACACATGAACTTACTCGTAGTTGGCTTGTCTGTGATTTTAACCGGTGATTCAGGCAACTGTACTTGATCTATATTCAAATAGAATAAAATAGTCTTTGAAGTGATCCTTTGTTTGTGAGATTTTGATTGGTAACAAACATTTTTATACAACCATCCCAAGAGAGGAGGAAGCAATTAAAATTCAAAGGTCACTGTGTGTCTTTTCCATTAGAAAACGACACTTTTGCCGTTGTTTTCTCTGGAGAAGAGGCACTTAGAGGATAATTATGGGAGCATGTACCCCATACCCCCGCCCTTCCCGCAGTTCCTATGCCACTGGTGCAAACAGAGTTCCTCCAACTATCATTTCTTATTCTTACCACAAAAATTACAAGATCTAGGACAATAGGTTAACATGAAGCCACGATGATACCCACAATATCCATCAACATTTGCGAAATAAACACATCGTACACGAGCGTCCACGCAACCTGGTTTAAGAAATATCATTTATTTATTTATTTATTTATTTATTTATTTATTAGCACGGTAGCTGCCGTAGTTAGCCAGTATATCTACCCGTAGCTAACGCGCTGTTCACATGAGCCAGGCTGGCCGCGATGAATCGTGTCACGAAAATGGTTTCCTGTCCATAAAAGATTGTTTGAATGAACTTTATATTGTTACTGGAATCAAACTGAGTTAATTCAACTTTGAAATACTATTTAAAACATGAGCAGCAGTGTTTTATCAGATGTAAAGATACGAGGCGAAGCCGAGTATCTTTAGGTCTGATAAAACACGCACTGCGAATGTTTTAAATTGCTTCAAAAACGATCGATCTAGTAAGTTCATTGGCGAAGTAATTTTCAAAAAATACGTTGTGTAAGTCGAGAAAATCAAAGTTAAAGTTTATATAAATAATAATAATAATAACACTTTATTTATTGAGGATAAACAGATAAAGTTACAACTTTTTTTCCAATCTGGTCCAATCAAGGGAAATCTCTATCGCATATAAAGATACGAGACACGCTTATGATTTTTCTTTGTCGGTTTTCCTCATGAATTATTAATGAGTTTTTGAAATGTCGTTTTGGATGTTTATCAAAGCCGTGATAAGAGCTTTATTAAACGAATCATCCCGGGTAACCAGCCGGCTAATATTGCACCGATATTCAACCAGGGGGTAGCTTCGCCACTGCACGGCTGAATGATCCCAGCCATTACAACAGGTGATGCTATGCAAATTCTTAATGATTTGTATTATTCAAACCTTTAGAAATGTATTGTCTTTAACCAATTTGGATGCAGGTTGATTAACATAGACAGGACAGGACAGGACAGTACAGGGCAGGACAAGACAATTTATTGCTCCATAATAATCACACACAATAGCACGACCAATTACCATGCATTGCATTGCATTGCATTGCATTGTATTGTATGACCAGTTGGATCCGTGTGGGCAAAAGATGTCGTTTGATTGTGTCATTGTGTTGATTGTATTGATTCTCGCGAAGGATTTCTGTACTAACCTGTAGGGCCACCAACTCCTCCGTTCCCGGCATTGCTCGTCGTTCTGACACCTTGAGTGGTGGGACTCGTGGTGGTGGTACGTAGTGGACTTTTAGTGCTCGCTTTTGTTGTACCATCAACTGTCGTTAAAAACACGTGCAGTTAACTTGGAATCAAACACAGGAAAGCGAACAATTTATGCAGGATATTTAACTATCTCCCCGTCTATAATGCTGTAAGATGAATCCCTCATTGATTCAGTGTTCCTACAGGAGGAAACCTAACTGATTTATACAGGATAGTAAGGACCGTCCCTCCTTATTGGTGCGGTGTTAGTTCTTCAGGAAGAAACTGGAGAAAATCTGTAGTGTTGACTGTTGAGTTGAATAAAAACGACGGACAACTATTGTCGGACAACTTCATGTTTCCGGAAGCCACATGCACTGAGCATTGTACGGTTATATTATCATGTTTCCCGCACAATAGAATTAGGGCTGTGATAAGGGTGAAGTTTAAAGAGAGATATTTTCGTACGTGAAGATAGCACGCAATGTACACCATCAACATCCCCATAATTATGCCTTGCGCCCCCCCCCCCCCCCCCCACCACACAAGCAACATACCACAAAATCGACAACTCCATGGACAGTTGGATAACATAAAGGCTCTAGTGTACTGACAGTAACCCGGGTAGGCTGCATATTCCGCGCATTGTTCTCTGTAGTCTTGACAACCAGGTCTTGCTGTGAACAGAAAATAAATGTTACTATGAACAGAAAATATGTTGACGATACGTGTGGTAGCCTTGTTGGAGAGAGTTAGTTCACTTTGTTTGCAATAAGTCCTAAAGTTGATGGAGACGTGACATACTTTTGGTAGCTAAGCTTCTCATCACCTGCCATTTCTATTATATGTGTTGATTTGCTAAAGCGAAAGTATACCCCACTGGGGCAAACACCATCTCTCAAGTAAGCTCCTCCCCCCCCCCCCAACATGCCAGAACTAAATATGCTCCCGGCGGTTGATTTACGATAGCTTACTGGGAGGTCCTCCCACTAAAGGTCCCCCTTCAGCGGTGGAGACTTTGTGAGTGGTAACTGGAGCATCTGTGGTCGTCTGGGTTACTGTAGGGTTACGTGTGGATTGAGAGCCCTTAGTAGAATCACTCCTAGGGGGTGTTGTAGGATTCTGAGTGTATTTCTTGGTGCTTGATAGTGCTGGTTTTCCTGTAGTTCCTTTATATCCACCAAAACTGACTTCATTACATAGGTCTCCATGGCAACACGCTTTTTCACAGTTCGTATGATGAGAAAACAAACATTGATATTCGCACATTTCCCGAGTTGCGCAATGTCGTCGAAATACTACGTTACCCGTCCTTGTATTGCGGGCTCGATAGGAAATACAGCGGTCAAAGCCATGTTGTACAGCACATGCGCGGATTAAAACATTAGGATTAGAGATGGAACATCCGGGATCTTGTGTACTATCTTCGTAGTCAGTTACACAAATATAGCATCGTAATGGCGCTGAAAAAAATAATACATTTTGTTTCTAGATCTGTTGGGAATTATTAAATACAATCTTGGACATCACTGGTTGAGACTTCCTTTCTATTTACACACGTAAAAATATCACAACTTGTCAACAAGATGTGTTCGCAACAGGCTTGTAGCAAGCTTGTCAACAAGTTGTAACAGTTCTGTTATCAAGTTGCTACAAGGTTGTCACTCACAACTTGTTCACAAATTGTTGAATTGCAGGACGATAACAAGTTGTTGGAACAAGTCTGTTGAGGACAACTTGTCAACAGATAGGGAACAAGCAGTGCGAACACATCCTTTTGACCATAGGCGTACGAGAAACGGGGGGGGGGGGAGGGGCACTAGTCCCCAAAATTTTGGTAAACCATGGAAATTCGGGCAAACGCTAGGAAAAATCAAGAAAATTCGGGTAGATTTATCAGAAATTAGGTTAAATTCAGGCAATTTCATTACAGTCCTCCATAAAAATTCGAGAAAACTTTCAACTGCCCCCCTGGAAAGCATCAGCCCCGTACGGCTATGCTTTTGACAAGTTGTTGGAACAGCATTGCTACATGTCTCCTGGTTTGTTACAACTTGTGCGTTGTTATGTGTATACAAGATTCGCAAGGCCTTAAAATATCGGTCGGTCACGGACATTGTCCGACCCATTCGTGAAATTGTCCGACGCAGAGAGGAAACCACCGGACATTCTGTCTGACCAAACTCATACTGAAGTTTATTGTTTGTCCGACCCGAGTGTATCGGTGTCCGACCGAACAGTAGCTTTGTCCGACGTAAATCAAAATGTACCCTAGCCCAGGACTAGAGGCTTGTATGTTAAATGGAAAATCAGAATACTATTCTATAAAAGGTGAACTGGAAATGTTGTTTTAACGTAGTCGAGCGCGGGGCGGCGAGCGAAATGGTCGAAATCGAAGTCTTTTTTTATTACTGCTGTTCTGGCAAGCAAGTTAATTTTGGCTTGGAAATAAGTATGAAAGAAACAAATTATTTAATATCTTTACAACATTTACCGTTATTCATTTGTGTCATTCAGACTTATTTCCGAGTCAAAACTGAACTGAAGGTCATCGGACATATGTCCGACCCAAACTCAACGTCACCGGACATTTTGTCAGACGGCCCTGTAAAAGATATTTTAAGGCCTGGATTCGCAAACCCATTCTCTTCTAAACCCCCACTTCCCCAGCTCAATGTTGAGTTGAGTGTCATGGTAAATGACCGCAAGTTGTGTCGGCGTTATTCACAACATTGAACTGGGGCAGAGGGGGTGATGAAGATATGAAGTTTGTCAATGTGCATTAACCGTCGCAGTTTTCCCGCTATGTTTACAAATGAGTAATTATTCAGACGCCTTAGTGGAACCCCTGCATTCATGCAGATAAGGCCACATAAAAAAAATTACTTGTTTAGCGTCCCCGCCCGACCTGATAAAAGTCCCCGACCTCCAATTTTTTTTTTTTTTTTTTTTAAATCCGTCCGAGTTTAGTGCAAAAACTCTCTATAAAAACGACCGTTTTACTTGAAAAAATGGTGATTTTATTCTTCTGGGAGCTATGTAATACGTTTACTCCTTCCTCGCAGCTAAAGTGTTCGCGCGTGACCGCCAAACGGTAATCATTTCTGTTTTATTAAAAACATGAACGGTATTAAAAAACATGAACGGATTTTGAAAGAATTAAAGTGAGTTTTGACTGTGGTAATATACTGGATTTCCTGCATTTAGCAGAATTTTGTGTTGCATTTTCCGAAAAAAAAAAAAAAAAATCCGCCCGCCCGACCTAGGAAAATTAAAATGGGTGGACGCTAAACAAGTAATTTTTTTTATGTGGCCTAAATGTCAGCAATATTATTGACATGACATCTCACAGTTTAATTGCTCTATTGTTAAATATTGTTAACCTCATGCCTAGCAAAGACCTCCAAAATTAAACTGTAGCTGCAGTTCCCCCATCCCTGTTTTTGAAATAATGTTGGTTTTCAGGAAGTGTTTTACATCACGACACAACGCAAATGTCGTGGTGGCTAAATTCAAATGTATTGAATCTTGATGCTGAATGTTCCATTATAGGTATTCCATGTATTTACCAGCAAACACAAGCTCAACACATACACTGAACAATTTACTCTGATAACTATCTCCGCCATATGTTGCCACTTAATGAAACGGACGTGTATTCTATAGTCCAGTATTATGCAGGTGTGCAGTAATGTCTTCACTTTTTAAAACAACAGCTTCTATACATATGGTAATGTGATATTGAAATGCAGGATCACTACATACGAAGCGATTGATTCAACGAGATAGAAGTGTTCCCCAGTTATCTTTCCACACGTATAAAACATGACTGTCTCCGCCATAATATACACAAGAAATTTATAGTGATGTATATAAGCCATACTATAGCGAACATGCATTTGTTTGCACAGCCAGCGAGTGGAGAGATGTTATCAATAGATATCATCTTTAGCCCATAGGCTATTCTTAAATCTTAATAAGATTGTTAACGCTGTTTTTGAGAGGAAACTGCCCGCAGTAATTTATTTTTATTAGATTTTGAAGAAACTGTAAAGCATGGGTAAGTTTCTTCTACTGGTATTGTGCGCCAGTCATTGTTTTTGGACATGAAACTCGCACCTTACATGTCATGTTTTTGTAGCACAATTTTGTGTTATATCGGGTACAAATATGTCGTGTAAGGCTGAATGAAACCCATCCATTACTCTCAATAGTCGCAAGTTTCAATGACCTGTGCACTGTCACATTCTAATACAAATACATTTTATAGAAAGTTGGTGTACAAATATGTACATTTTTAAAGCTATGTAATTCCCTGGATCGCGACATGGTACCTTGGCGTCCAGAGTTTAACACCCTGTATAGTTGAATGTTCTTATATTGCCAGATGAATGAAGTGACGGCAAATACAGACACAGGGATTACAAGTGATTACTATTTCGAAGACAGTAAACATACTTAAGAATTTGAATGAAAGAGA